GAACAAAATAAAACTAGAGCACAAGTTTTAAGGGAAAAGAAGAAAGGACCAAATGAAGCAAAGCAGTGAATTCTAAGAGTCATAAAAACACTTGGAGACAGAGGAAATTCCATCTTATGAGAAATGGCATCGCAGATGTGAGAGCAAACAGAAGTTATGCAGTGTTCACTTGAGGGGATTTCTTACTAATAGCTGATCAAGAGGCTTTCCTGCTCATAGTCTGGATTATTTTTTCATAACCAGGATTCCTCAATCCCATGTGATACCTAAATTAACAGCAAGGGCTTTCAGAGAAACCTGGGCATGTAAGAAGTGTGCTGGTATGGCTCGTAGGGTAATTCTTTAAGTAGTAAATATATATGAACATTATTAAAAAGCTGTTGTTTGTAATTTAACCAAAACAGGGCTGAACATTCAGATCATTTACACCATAAACATCTCTGTAGGAGCTAGTCACTAGAACTTTTCCTCAGATACAGGGAAGCTGTCTCTACAGTTGCTTGTGACCAACTTGAGCCATCTACTTTAAACATCAGTTGTACACTAAGTACACAATCCCCTCTATTAGTAACCTGTAAGTCTAATTGAGAACATTTTGTCACACAGCACAAAGATTTCCCAAAGTGATGCCAGATGCAAATCTTGTTTGGCCTGCCTGTGATGTACCTAGTCCTAATAGCAGCTGCAAAAGGACTGCTATGTTTTGGAATAGATTACAGACAAATTGCTAGGTGATCCGCTCCTCAAATTATGAAGAAAGAGATGATGAAGAGGATACACAATGAGCACTTCTATATGGAAAAAATATGAAAGTTCCCAGCTAGATCTACATTGCATTGGCTTAAAATTAAAATGCATATAGAGGAAAACCTCAAAAGAATGTGAAATATTTATAAAAAAAAAATTATCAAACAAATGATGAATGTGAAATATTTATCAAACAAAACAGTCTGTGGTGATCACCCAAGAAACATTACATTCATGGTCTAGCATAGTCATAAATTACTGCCTCTTTCCTGGAAAAAATACATATTGTTTTTGAAATACTGTCTTTAATACACCAAAATATTACAATTAGAAAACATGAGTGTTAAACATGTGATTTCCAGTATCAAAAACATTCATTTACTAGAATAGTATATTAGTTGTGAAAGTCACAAAAGAGCACTGCAATTTGGTGGTCTGGAACTTACACACACAACAAATTAATTTGGATTTTAGGTATAACATTACAAGTAGGTGCAGTGCAATGAGCTGTGAAAAAACATGTAAATAATATCAAGGGTTATTAAAAAAACTAAATACCCAAATTCAGAACCTCATTTGGCATATCTGATTTACAGTCTTCAAGTCTGGACTGCCACCTGCTGAAACACTGTTCAATAGTAGGCTTAGGCTTAATAGGACTTAATTTTCATTATTAAACCTTGACTTCCACCCTAATCTTTCCTATAGCCCTTGGTGCTCCATATCCCATGGATAGTATCATCATAACTATGAGCAAGTTTCATACTTTCTTCCTTTCTGTCCCTTGATTCCCCAGGTCAGTGTTGGTCTCCCCTCTGCTCATCCCCTGTGATTTGAGTAGTTTCTTTCCCTGCTCTTTGCCTGTTAAGATTTTACAACCACGCTCAACCGCTGGACCCACATTGCTGCCTCTGTAAAATGAGATTAGACGATGTAGACTCAGTAATTGTCAAGCAAGTTGGAGTCTTCATGTTTGCAAGACCAAAATATGGGCATAAGTGGTGCATACACCCACAGTGTGGACATAAGCAGCAAGGTAAAGGTGAACCTTGCTATCATCTTTGCTGAGCAAGGGGGATTGGTAAAAAAACATGACACTTGTGTAGCATCTTTCATAGAGAAAGGACACAAGAAGTCTTGCAGGCTTCATAAGAACCAAGATCCAGACCAGAAGAGGCTGCAGGGAAATTGGTGGGTTGCATAGTATCAGTGGAGATTAAAATTCAATAAGTGCTCTGAACCACGGTCGTCATTTCAGATGCTAAGGGAGGATTGCTGAGATGTGATTTGATTAACTTGCAGTGGGTGTTTATCCCTTGGAAACAGTGCAGTAGGAGGAGAGTCGACCCTTCCAAGATTGATTGCAGTTGTGTGTCCCAGGATAGCCTTTTCATCCATGCACGCTCCAGAGTACTGGAGGAAGGAGCAGGAGCTTTCTCTAAGGCTATGTGTTTTTTTGGGACCGAGGTTCCTGCTCAGCAATTGCACTTCCAAGGCACTCTTCTGGGCTGCATTCATGGTCCAGACCATGTTCCCTGCTGGGGTTTGCCCTCAGAATTATTCCTGGTGACTTGAGCTCTCCAGTCTCATACTGTCACCCGATTTTTACTGAGTTTTTGTGCTTCATGATATGATGTTTTCATGGGTGGGCTCTCACTTGGAGCAGTAGGCTTGCAGCGTGGGCTGTGCCACACAGAGTGATAGAGCAAGCAGCACCCCTTGTCCATTACCGCCAACATCTGAAGTTTTCAGTGAGAAAAGAAAAGCATTTTCACCGGTGTGAGACTCCTTTTCTTGCCTATCAAATGCATAGGCGCGATCAGTGTGATCACTTGAACATCACCTGCATTAAGTTTGTTTCACTGGGAAGAGTAATAGGAGCAAGCGCTGCATCTACTTGCTGTATGGAGCACCGCCACCCTCTAGTGGTAAAACTTCAGGCATTTTTAGGCAAAAGATGACTTCACTACTAACTCATCTTCTGTTTTCCCCTTGGACAAAAATCTGCACATCATCTTTAATTGACAGTGCTCTTCTGTTGAATGACATCGTAAATTCGTGCCTTTAGTTTAAGTGGCTGATGATGTAATTTCCTTGAACTATTTTCAGTGTGTTTCACCTCTCATTAAATCATATAAATGATACTTGTGAGCCGATGGGTGACTGAATTTTCACATGTAGATAGAAACAGCTGTAATGGAAAACCTCAAATAGCAGCAGCTAAAGGCTTTAAATAGAGAATTAGTGATGGAATCATTGTAATGGCTGTAATGTGGCAGAACATTGCTGGTTTATAGCTAATGAAAGGAATCGTGTTGTCCTGGTTGAGTTCTCACTAGTTTGGTCATGGAGGTGCAGGGCAGCTGGATCATGGGTCTTGGGAAGCCGTTGAGCCACTGGCTTCATAACTGCAAGTTGGGGACATCAGTGTATGGTGTGACAAAGCACACTTGAGGGCATGGCAGGAACATCACAGAATTACTATATTAACTGATGGGTGTCTTGATCAGGGGACTGTGGTTGTAGATAAATGCAAAGACACATTCTGGGCCCAAAAGCTCTTTCCTACCAACCACATAACCCATGCTCTAGAGCATGGCTGGTGAGTGGGAAAAGGTGAAACATGTCAAAGCAATTCAGAGTTATTCAGCATGAGGAAACACATTTATTTCTGTTCTAACCTTTCTCAAAATGGCTGATGTGAAATTTTCCTGACATAAGAAACTTCCGTCTGAACAGCTAATGTTGGGAAAGCCACAGCAAAGTAATCCTTCAGGGTTTGATGTGAAATGTTTCACTGTTGCCTATTCCTTGCATGGAGGGTGCCAGTTGATGATGTTTGGAGGAAATTATTCTCCCCCCCCCCCCCCAAAAGGCAGCAGTTTGGAGCTGTCTGGAGCTCACCTCTTTCACTCCAGCTGCAAAAATGGAAATTCTCATAACACACTCCCTTAGCCCTAGATTTCCTCATACATGAATGAAACCAAAACCCAGTACAGATTAGAGGACATGTGTGTCTGAGCTGAGTCCTTGATCACTGCTTGCAGTAGACTCTGCTCATTTCACCCAGTGAAACAAAGCAGAGTTTTATTCAGCAAGAAATAAATCACAGTTTAGGATTCAGATTGTAATTCAATGCAGGTATTACACACTAAACACAGTTTGATTCTTAACAAGCTTTTTTCCCTGGATGATTTCAGTACCTAACACCTATCACTTCTTTGATGTACCCTAACCACGAAACCAGGGATACAGAGCTCTATGGAGACATTCTTCCAATTTACTCACTAAGCTCTGAAATATTTCCATGGCCACCTTCCCCTTTGTTCCTGTGGATCAGATTTTGGGAGCACATTAAAATGCCTATGATCTGGGTACATGAAGTACCAAAATATAAGCTCCCCCCACTCTGCTTCACAGTAATCACATATGAGATTCCCTTGATTTTTCTCATTACTTTTTGTATAAAAGATTTTGAACAGCTGAAACCTGGGGATAGTTTTACAAAGCAGATCAACATGACTTTAGATTGGACTGAATTGGATTTACCAGCAGTGGGAGTTAAATTTTAAGTCAAATCTCTGTTCTGGAGCCTCACAGACAGACAATAACACAGGGGCAGTGAGTTATCATGCACTGTGTTTACTGGAGAGCAGAATTTCACTCTCTATTGTTTAATTTTCAGACCTTTTTAACTTTTTCATTGTTTCATCTGCGTGGAAGTGAGTGAAAAAAATGAGAAAAGAAATGCAGTTTTCAAGGGAGGGTTTTTCCTGGTGCTGCATTGTAGTGAAGCATTTACTGTTTCTCAGGTCTCAGGACGTGCCAAGTAGATTCATTGCACTGTCACTGCAGTGCCATTTTCTGAAGCACACAGCACATCAGCTTGGAAGAGACCTCCTAAGCATTACAGTCCTTTGCCTGTGTGTGTATATATACACACACACACATATATATATCTAAAATCCCTTCCCAAAATGCAGTATCACTCACTTCCTTCTTGAAGCATGCAAAGTTAATGCATTTCAATACTGGCATCATTCTGATTTAGGCTCTTGTCAGGATTTCCTGACAACAAAGCCTCACCTGTCCAGGTTGAGAACCCTTGATCTTCATGAGATCCCACCTGACTGCTCACCAATAGTAGCAGCCATCTGTTGAAGGTCTTTAACTAGGATTTTATAGCCATTATCTCCAGTGCAAATACAGAGAGGTGTAACAGTGCTGTGGTTTCCCCTTCTATTTCATTCCAGGTTTCTGATTGTCTTGGGGTGTTTGATCTTAGCTGTCCTGACAACTTTCAAGGAGTATGAAACTGTTTCGGGAGACTGGCTCCTCTTGCTGGTAAGTAGAGTGTGGGCATTGCATCACCCTGGTAATGTCCTTGAATTGAAATCAGCCCCATCAGCAGTGATGGAAACTTACTCCCAGCTCTGCATGTAATAAGATTTCTTCTGCTGGTCCTGGGGCAATGACTGTACACTTATATATTGGATAGTTCCTGTCCATTGTCAACACTGACTGAGTAAAAAGAAAGTTTGGAGAGAGGAAAAATACTGAGACATTTAAATAATGTGTTTTCAGCATTTGCCTAACAGTTCTCCTATCAAAACATCAGGAAATTTCCTATTGACCATGCCAGAGAGCATTTGAAAACTCACTTTTTTTTTGATCTTTTAACAATTTCAATTCATTCTATAATATTCTACCAATCCCAGCATTTCTTTCAAGGAAGGTCCTCAGAATCGGACTCATGCTTATACCCAACAGCAGCATGATTGGAATTGTTGCAGTCAGTGCCTCTGATGACTGTCCATGACAGAAAATGTATTGGCAGCAAATATGTTCCTTTGTGTGTGTGTTTCCAGCATGCTTGTTTTATAAGTGCTGGAGTTCATGCTCAAGACTGTATTTCTGCAGGCCTCCCATTTGGCAGAAGACAAAAAAATCTCACCAAGTATAAACATGATGTGTTAATCATGGTATGAAAATGACCCTTATCTCCCATAGGTAGCATCAAACAGAGAGCATAATGCCTCACTTAACCTGGCCTTGTAGAAAAGCATCCCTAAGGAAACTGCACAGAAAGTGTAGTTCCAGGAACTAAATTTCCATTTCCCCTTGTACCCCCCAGAGACATGTAGATCTGAGAAAGAACTAAATGCCAAAAGGCATGAAATGTGAATTCCCCTTGCATGTTCCATCTCAAAAAGCACCTATATGAAAACACCCTCATCCCCTAGGGAATGGGAAGCTGACTTTGGTCTCTGTTACCTTGCACAGACCCATCTTTTCACATTCGAAAAGGCCTGAGGTTATTTTTCCTTTTCCTTCTCCTGTGCTTGTTTTTATATAGCTCTCAGCAGTTTACAGAAGTGCCTAGCTGCTGTGGGTATGAGCATCAGGGAGAATCCTCTTTTGCTCCTTGCCAGGTATTCACACAGAGGAAAAGAGAGGAAAACTGACCATGTGCCCCGTGCTGCCCTTGGCCCATCTCTGCTGAGCACTCCAGAGAAGCTGTCTCTTCCCCTTTCCCTTCCCATGCTTAGAAGAGTTCTTGAGCAAGGTGGAAAATCCCATTCTTCTGTGCACCAGAAAATTAAGGGAATAACATATGCCTTAAATTAGTTTTATATGTGCCTTTATCTATGCCATAAATTTATGACCATATGAATATACTGTATCTTGTCCCTATCTTTATATATATGGCTGCATGAACAAGATGCTGGTGGGTAACCAGAGGAGATTTTTTTGTGAAGTAATTGCCTTTCCATTAAGACAGGGTAAAAGCTTCACATTTACAGCAGAGGTGCATCCTTTCTGCAGAGCACTGACCAGCCTATAGAGTTATGTCCCACTTTGCCTTGCTTCTTTATCAATGCATATTCTTCTCCCCACTCCTTTCCTCTCTTTATCTCACACACACACCCCAATGCTAGCATTTCATCTGTTTCCTTCAACTATATCCTCATGTCCAGAATTACTGCTAAACTTGCTATGAGTCTAACAGTGTAGCTTGTATCTTTGATACAGGAAACTTTTGCCATTTTCATCTTTGGAGCAGAGTTTGCCTTAAGAATCTGGGCTGCTGGGTGTTGCTGTCGCTACAAAGGATGGAGGGGGAGACTGAAATTTGCCAGGAAGCCTTTGTGTATGCTGGGTAAGAACATGCTCCCTGCTACTGTTTTCCTTTATGTCCTTTTCTCTCAAAGCCAGTTGGGGTGGGTGGCAGCCCCAGGGAACCAGGAAATGGCAGTGCAAAGAGCACTGAAATCAGATCTTCACTTTGTCATAGGAAGCTGTGTGCTGCTTGGAGTAGCTATTTGAAGTACCCCACAATAACAGTTAATTTGAGGGACACTTGAGTAACTGATCAGTGAGGAAAAATGTATTCTTCTACCCTTTAAGCACATTTCTTTGTCCTGAGCCCCACTGCATTTTCCTTAAGCCATCCCCAAATATACTCTCTCTGCCTTCAGTTTCAAACCACTTCAGATCCCAGCCCCATACCACCTTCCCCAGCCCTCTTTCAAATTCAGATGTGGTGTTTTACCTTTGTAATGTTGTTCTACATTTGCAAACAAGTATATTTGTGATTGCACCCATGTTGTCTTTCAGGCTTGGAAGGCACTGCCTATAAGTATCCATAAAACTACTCATTATACATGTTTGGATTCCCTTCCTACAACTCCCTATTCTACCCACAAACAAGCCAATGGACACTTAGAAGCTCATTGTGCCCTGAGAGCCTGTCATGAACATCCACATTTGTTCATTGATTCCAAGACTCCCCCATTTGTTTTGATGTTCTTCAGGCCAAGCACTTGCTTTTTGTTCTTTATCTGTAAGCACATAGCACTCTGGGGAGCCCTAGGAATACTTGTCACTTGTCTTCCCTCTCCCTCTTTTTGTTCATCTTATGGGTCTAAATGGTAGACAAAATTGGAACAAATTTTCTTTGTGCATCTGTGCTATCTTCAATCTAGCAATGCTCCTTTGGGTGCTAGTGTTGTATAAGTACTTCTGCTTCTAAAAGCATTGTGAAGGCAATAGAGTGTGGTGGTAGCAAGTGCAATTGATACTGTCTCGTGCCTTCTCAGTAAAGGTGTCACCTCACTTCTGAGAATGAATCTTCACTGGTATCTGAGTTGAAAACAGAAAAGATCCTGGATTTAATAATATAATCTCTTGGTTGTTATTGGCACAAGTTTGTTTTGAGAATGACTGAAAGTGGATAAATCCAAAATCCATCCAGTGTCACTCTTTTTAGCTGAAAACAGAATATGAAGAGTATTTAAAGACTGGGTGTCCAGAGAAGGTTTGAAGCCTTTTGATACCTCTTTTTTTCTTGCATATGCACAGGATCACAAAGCAGAGGGCAAACAAGGAAAAGAAAGGAAAAGAAAACCAAGAAGGAATGATGCAATTTGCATTTCAAACCTCTTCTGTTGATCAGCAAATTGGCCCTGTGAGCCTTACAGAAAATAGTAGTACTGGCTTTGAGATTTTAATGGGAAAACTCAGCCAAAACAACAAAGTACTAGATGCACTATCAAAACATGAATTTCTCATCTGCTGCCCTGTTCATTGTGGTGTTCCTGTGGGCCAGATGTACCTAAGGCTGGTTTTCTGTCAGCATTAGGACACTGTTTTACGTCAGCATCCCTAAACTTGTCCAGTGCATGGACCTGTAAACAGATTACGAGGCTTTCTGGAGGGTTCTGTGCATGGTGCTGACTGTGTGGCAGGTGCAGGTGTCTGTTTAATTGGCAAGAGAGAGCATTTTCAGGCAGCTTTAAAATTTGCCTAGGGAAATTTGGAGCACGACCAGATGGGATTAAGAAGCAGGTGATGGAGCCGCTTTTGTTGGCAGGCTTTGTTCTTTTTGTCTTGCAGATATCTTTGTGCTGATTGCTTCGGTGCCAGTGGTTGCGGTTGGGAACCAGGGCAATGTTCTGGCCACATCTCTCAGAAGCCTCCGCTTCCTTCAGATCCTACGGATGCTCCGAATGGATAGGCGGGGAGGCACATGGAAACTTTTAGGATCAGCCATTTGTGCACATAGCAAAGTAAGTGATGAACTTGCAGGGTTCAGATGGGGTTTCAGGGAGAGACATTAAAGGGAAAGAGAGAGGATGCACAGGTAGAGCAGGGTCTTGGGACTATGTCCAGTACTTCAAGCAATAGTTTCCTTCTTTCAGCTTTATTCCCTCCTCCACTCTGAACCATTTTCTGCCCTGTGTTTTATCCTTCTATACTCAATAGTGGTACTGGGAAATGATGACAGAGCGTTCATTCCCGCCATCATTACAACAAGAATTTTGCCATTACACTGAATGAGAGCCGGGACATCCCTTTAACGGTGAAGCATGTTGAAATGTCTGATAGAAATACCCCTGTAGTTGCAAAGTATTTGTAGTGGCTTCTCATACTTGTCTGATTGACAGATGGAGCAGGACTCCAAAGGGATGAAAAGAGGCTGGTTAGCAGAAATGTAGTGCCAAAGAGAGCCACTGGTATAATTTGTCTTTGGAAGCACGGGTCAGATGATACAAAGATGCACACAGTGTGAACCGAGACAGACAGTAGTTCTAAATTCATCTTCTCTCGGTCTAACTTGGTGCTATACTCAGACACATCCTGTCTCGCACCAGACAGATACATTGTGTTCTGGTATTTTCACCAAACATTATTACAAGTTAAAAGCTATCTGCATAAAAATCCTCCAGATGAGATTTCTTATCTGCACAGGGTGTAGGAAAATTGCGTATATGTGCTCTGTGCTGCTTTTTCTTACCCATGAACGACATTCCTGACATTTTAGGGGTTTTGAGGATTAAAACGCCAGCTGGCACAGCATAATTAGACTTTGCTGCTTTGTGGTGGCTGGTAGGGATACCCACCCGGCTTCATTTCGTACCAGCTTCTGTCTCTTCTCCATATAAACTTGCTACAAGGCAGGTGGCACATAAACACTTATGTCAAAAGTGGTTCTCAGGAAGCTCACATAATGGAAGAAGTCTGTGTGCCAGAGCCATTGCTTGGAATTTGTTTAAGGCTTTACTGGAGACACTAAAAAACCAAGGTTAGCCAACAAATATCCTTCTGTGGCTGCGCACCAGGAATTAGCCAGTTTCTGGTTGGCTTATCTCAAGAATCAATTATGAAATTCTCAGCTACAGCTTTATTTTATTCTATTTTATTTTGTTTTGGTCTATTTTAATTAAAGTTAATTTATTTTAATCTAATGTTAATTAATTTATTTCAATTTGGTTTTATTTTATTTTATTTCAGTGCAGTTCTCAGAGAATGAAAGGAAGCAGAACACTGACTTTTACCCACTTTGGAAGACCTTCACCAAAAATGTTTCTGCTTTGTTTCAGACATTGCTGGGAATTTAACTTGGGTCACTGCACCTCCCACCTCAGTGTGTTTAGCCACACCCTCCACTTGAGTCACTGTCTCTAAACTAATGAAGCTCAGGGTTTTTTTCACACAGATGATTTTCAAGGTCTGTTCTTATTGCATCAATTCATTGTGAAAACATAATTCATGGTGGACCCTGGTACATCCTGCAGCCTTGGCTCTCTGGAAGTAGGGATTAAGCATAGCTGTTATTTGCCTGCCAAAACTGACCAAACCTATGGGCAGCCAGAATGAGAAGAGTCATGGTCAGGGACAGAACCCTGCAGCATCCTGCATCATGGGTGCAGTTAAGGCCTTAACCCAGCTTTATGCAGAGCTATAACTACAGATTACGCTGTTCCCAAGGAACATGTCATGTATGGGCTAATTCTTGTAAATCTCTGCATTATTTCCCAGTAAGTGCTGAGCTGGGCTGGCCATGGGTTGTGACCAAGCAGCGGCAACAGCTCTGCTGTTATCAGCTTCATGTTTCCTCTCTCTTGGCATTTACTCTGCCTCAGTGGGTATTGAGGCTGTTTTCAGCCCCTCCATTCCCCATCTGTTTCTTTTGCAGGAGCTCATCACTGCTTGGTACATCGGGTTCCTGACGCTCATCCTATCCTCATTTCTTGTTTATCTGGTTGAAAAAGATGTTCCTGAAAAGGATGCTAATGGGGTGGAGATGAAGGAAGAGTTTGAAACTTATGCAGATGCACTGTGGTGGGGGCTGGTAAGTGACTCCAAAAATACCTTATCTAAAAACTTCATATCCAAGAAGAGATAAAATATGTTAGGGGTGCTAGGGAACACAGTAGTGCTACTTTGAGGTGAGAAACGTGTTACTGGTAGAACATTACCAGAGTATGGATGCCCCTACAACCAAGTAGCAGATCTAACAAAACCGTTGATTTTCAGTCAGAAAAATGCCTTTTGGTGCTTAAACCTCCTTTGGAAATCAATCTCTGCTGGTTTCTGGGAAACCACTCTTCTACAGGGGTGTCTTTTGATGTATAACTGTACTGGTAGAACATATGCCTATAGGAGACTTAGCCCTCATGACAGCAGTAGCCTGCCAGTGAGAACTACATCTCTCAGAAAATGGCAGAACCAGAGGTGGCCAATGGACTGTTCTGTTGGGCTAGCAGAGTGTATCAAAGGCTTGGGCACTATTGATAGACACTCAAGGGAGTTTGGTCTATAAAGAGCCAGTGACTGAGGATGTCTCTGGATTCTGATGTGGGAAGTAGAAAAATATTTCTGGAAAGGATTCTTTCTGGAAAGACAATTCTCTTATGTCTCAATGTGCATACCCCCAGAATTGATCAGGGTGTGGCACTGGCTGTGAAATACTGAGCAAGAGGGATCTTTGATACAGATCTGTTCTTGCCTCTTCTGATGAAGAGATGAGTATTGCTTTGCACCACTGCTCATTTGATCGCAAACTATTCCTGCCACCTGGTAGACAGAATTCATGTTGCTTTGCTACCAATAGTTAGAGGAATCCATAGCATGCTGTGACTAAACTTCAGTAGTGTATCTTTTATTTGATGTAGTTCACTCATAAATGGCAAGATCCTTCCACCCCATTATTAATCAAAAGGCCCCAAGTGTTGCATGGAACACCTGGATATTTTCATATCCTTTCATACCCAGGACACTTAGGTAAAGTCTCACTGGTGATAAGAGATACACAGTTGGAAATAAGCAACTGTGTAGGAAAGGAGTAAGTTTTCACAATGTCATCTTTGTTTTAAGAACACTGGGACTTCAGAGAGAGGTAGCCCTGATTGGCTTTTAAAGCCCTGCAAGCTATTAACGGGCAAGTCCCACTCAAGTGTGCTGTCAGGGTGGGCAGAAGACTCGCGTCTCATGGAACAACACATAGAGTTCCCTTTCAGCAAATGCATCCTAGAGAGGCAGCTGCTCTAAGACTAATTCCATTCTCCCTATCGCAATACCTCTGGACTATGATACCATTAAAATGATTGGTTGGCTCATCATCAAGATCCCACATGAGGAGGTTGCATGAGCACCCACAGAGCTAGATGCACGTTTCATGGTGACCTTTAAAGCAGAGCTTTTGGCTTTGGTTTTCTTACGGGAAGTCCTGGTCATTCTGCCCACAGATCACCCTCGCTACGATTGGGTATGGCGACAAGACCCCCAAAACGTGGGAGGGACGGCTGATTGCAGCTACTTTCTCTCTCATTGGAGTGTCTTTCTTTGCTCTTCCTGCAGTAAGTACCTTCCCCCTCCTCTGTTAGCCGCTGCTGTACACTTGCAAAATGAAGGCAATCAAAACTGCCAGTGGAATCAAAATCCCTTGTTAAGAAGTGATTCAGACACTTGAGCTGGTCTAGATCAGTAAATCAAGCTCCTTTCTTCCCGAATTTGCATGCAGCCTATTTGGTATGTGATACACCAGTACTCCTTGAACCATGTGTGGGCACTGTCTGAGACAGTGCTACTTGGCACAGGATAAAATTAATCCAGCAAGTTAAGAGTCTGGGCAGTCACAGGGCACTTTATGAGCCTGTACCCTGGCCCAGGTTAGTTTGCTGCTACTGACATAGCCACACAAGGTGCATTTTTAAAGGATTTGGGACCTGTTGTGTTAAAAATTAGGGTTGAATCCACCCTACCCAGCTCTGAATACTTGCAAGTTAGAGACCTACATGTGAGCAATCATCACGGACCAGTGGCCATCCTTTATAACCAGTGCAGCTGTGCAGAGTATTTCATGTCAGCTGTCTGGGGAAATAGTTCCTAGAGAAGATCTCTGACATCGCCATGGAAGAGCATTTCTAGCCACTAAGATTAAAGGGGGGTTGGACAGCAGATGACAGTACAGGTATTTTTGACCTAGCCATGTGAATTGTCCTCTGGTTACTTAAGAAATTATCTCTAAACTGCTTTTGAAAGCATATTGCTTTCTTGTGTTACATGGGCCAAATATTAGCTTTGTCTGCAAAGTCCTGAGGTAAGAGCGAGACAAGATCTGGGTGAGATGGGCTGAACAGAAACCATGCCAAGTCCAGGTTTTAAGGTATTTTTCCTTTACATCAAGACATGGAAAGCATTTCACAGAGAATGGGAAGCCCCGCACACCCAAATCCAGAGTATGGCTGGCATAGCTCTTTTATCACGCAAGCACAGTTTGTGTCTACCTGAGTGGAAAGTAATACACCAGCTTGGTATCTCCAGCTTGGAAAGCAGTAGACAAGAAACCTGGTGAGGACCTTAAGATGATACGATGTGGCCTGGGTCCTTGAGAGGATCATGAGAGCCTCATGTCTTGTGAGTGGAACAATGGGAAGGTCATGCTGCAGTGCACAAAGCTTCCACATAGCCATCTCCTTCTCCACCCACAGGCCTGTTTCCTCTCATTGTTAATCCAGTCTTTCCTGAGTAAGAAACATCTAAAATCTTGCATCTCTCTGTGCTTTCAGGGCATTTTGGGCTCAGGGCTGGCACTGAAGGTCCAGGAGCAACATCGTCAAAAGCATTTTGAGAAAAGAAGAAAGCCAGCAGCTGAACTCATCCAGGTTTGCAGCTACTTATCCCCTCCTTGATAAAGTGTTGTGTATGAAGACTGCTACATCATGTTAACAAGGGCGACCCCTTCCCAAATTCTCATTTCCCATTGCAGGAGGTGAGAAGCTGTGTTTATAGAGGAGTTAGTTTTTTTTTTTCACATTGAGCAAGATAATCCAGAGATCCCTGCAGTTTTTGAGGAGGGAATCTTTCAATTCCCAGAATACCTTTGTATATAGTGTTTTTTAGTGTCTTTTCTCATCCACCAGCTTCTGGAAACCAACCAACTGCTGCATTAGCACCACAAAATCACAGAAAACAAGCTGTCGAAAACATATTCTTCCCAGAATCCAGGTTTTGTCAGTTCCCTTGCGAGCGTGCTTTTATGTGCAAACAAAGTTAAGTTGTTATTGGTGTGAAAACAGCAATAGAAATAACACAACAGACAAATGACTGTTTCAGTCAAGGCAAATGATGTAAATAGTATGTGCAGTTTGTAAAAACTGAAACACACCCTGCATCTTCTGTTATGTCACTGGACTGTCAGAGGATTTGATGGGAAGAGACTTGGCCATCAGTTATGGCCTTTGCTACCAATTCAGAAAATGAAGCTTAAAATTACTAGTTCAGGGGCTGACAAATTTGACAGGAGTTACTTGTAGTAAGTGTGGAGCTCACCTTGATGGCAGTGAAGTCAATGTCAGCATTTCCATAAAGCAACAGAGAAAGGGTCTGTGGTATCAGACGGCCGCGTTTTTGTTCGGGACTGCTCAGGATCAAACCAGTCCTCAGGAAAACAGGCTGAGTGGCATATTATGCTATTCTCATTAAAACCACTCGTTAGCAAACAGAATGGGCTGCAGGGATCAGCTGTGAATTGAATTCACCTTTTAAATTAAAGCATCTCCACTTAGCAGGAGCCAATTTAGCTACAGCAGTTTTAGGTATGTGCTGAAAGAATTTGGTTAGAGCTAAATGCTGAAATAGAAATTGCTCAGCAAACTTTCCTATGAGGATACACTAGATAGCAAACTGGCTTAAGCCAGAAATAGTGGACAAATCCAGCAGTGGTTGAAGCTCTTTTAGACACCCCAGACAGGAGAATAAAACAAGTTTAGTCAAATGTAATGTCTTGTTGATGTAGGTAGCTCTCTCTGTGTCCTGGTTCCTTTAACAGCCCTCCTAGTGCCGTAATGCAGTGTCAATAATTTATCCATATGGTGACACTCATTAAGTATGGCTGATGGGTAACTAATCTCTAGATAATCATTCAGGTGTATTGTTATGTTCTTTGAAGCAATCTGGCTGCTGCCAGCTTGGGGAATAGTTTTACCTAAAACTAGTTATTTCCTTTCCCTTGTAATTCAGGCTGCCTGGAGGTACTACGCCACTAACCCCAACAGGATTGATCTAGTTGCTACCTGGAGGTTTTATGAATCAATTGTGTCATTTCCATTTTTTAGGTAAGTGCATTGTCCACCTCCTTATTTTCTGTGAAGTAAAAGGACAGGAAGCATAGACTTTATATTGATCAGTGAGGCTTTTGTAGGTAATGGATCACTGCCAGTTAACTTCCTCACTGAGAATGAAAAACAAGCTTTTGGCTTCTGGATCCATTTCTTTTCCCTTCCCTTGGTGCAACATATTGGGGCACATGGATTACTCAATCAGTGGTTCTCATGTTGGCATTAAACAGAGAAGGCTGCCTCACCATCACCTTCCATTTGTAAGACTTAGGAGTTTATCACCCTGGAAATCTCATTTTCTCCCTCTGTAGTTTTGATCCCGATAAAGTTTTAGCCCTGGATTTCAGAGGTGCCTGTACTTCTCACACCCTCTATGATGCAGTCATGTGTTTTAAGTTATAGGCTATGCAGAAAATTCTTAGTTTTCCTTCTTTACCTCAAGAGGACTGGGAATTTTGTTGTTATCAGAGGTGGCCATGGCATGTGAACATAAATAATGTTTGTTAAAGGCTTCTCTTTTGGCAATACCAATTGATCAAGGGGATAATTTGGTGGAGGACACCCAAAGCATGTTTAAAACTGTCTCCCACTGAAACTATTCACTGAAGATTCACAAGAAAACTTTTCTGGGGAGTTGGGGTCATGGTTTTCTTTTAATCACCGCTTCTGAGTTCAGTGGAAAACATTCCATACCTAAATACATTCAGACTTAATGGATGTTCATATGTTTATGGATATGAGGCTATCTGATCCTCATTTTTCTTGTCTTTCCAACAGGTACTTTCCTCACCTTGAGGTCTTAACATGTTAAAATGTTTGCCCTATGAAACCAAGACTTTTAGCTATAGACTATCAGCTGCTAGTAGCGGGCATTACTTATCCAAGTTTATGCTTAAACTTTCATTCTCGACCTGCTGTTATGTCTCATTCTGGGAAAAAATGTACTCTTAAACTACTCCAGAGGACTCCACATATAAGTTGTGCTCAATGAGCTAATATTGCAACTGTAGCTGCTGCTCAAAATTGACTTACTTACAGAAACATTTCAGGCTCCTACCTTCAGAAAGGGCAAATTAGAAACGCTAAGTCTTTCTTTGTTATGTTCATGATGTACTTCTTTAGGATTGATTTCACATATGTCAAAAAGGAAACCTCAAGAAAAAACACCACAAATGTTAAATTGAGGCTTAATGTATTTCCCTTTTTTTTATTCCTTCTCATGCTCTATGTATTTACAAATTCTCCATTACAGTCATTTCTAGAGGGTTTCTTGACCTCAGGCTTTGTTCAGAGAATAATTATCAGGCTTGCCTGGAGTCTAGGTTTATTACTGTGACTTCAAGCTTGTTTGTTGTATGTAGGTTCTTCTGTGATTCAAATGTGACCTGAAATTTAAGAGGTGCTTTGCAAATAAGGTCCTGGGAGAGAGGGCAATGGAGTTCACTTTTCACCAAAGACTGGATTGCCAGACTAAGCAGCACAGATTGGTTTCAGGAGCCTATATCGCTTTCTTTGCTTTATGTCTAGTTGAAAGTGCAGCTTTTATTCTGCTATCACAGAACAAAAGAAGTATAAACTATTAGCAAGGGATTTGCAATTTATGTTTTAAAAATTTGCTGAATTTATTATGTAATTCTTTTCTCCTTGTTTTCTTGTAATGCTTCCTCTCTTCTATAAAAGGAAAGAGCAATTGGATGGCACTGCCAGGTATGTAGCTGCCATTATTATAGCCACCATTATTATAGCCTTGTTTTAATACAGTTGTTGGAGGATGCAGGTTAAATGGTTCTTTGTGGATTCACGAGCTGTTAACCAAAACATGCTACTAACACTACAGGTAGTCATTAAAAATGATTAACCGATCCATTTCCTAATTGCTTGCTTTTTTTTCCCAATTTAACAACCCAGCTAAAATACTAATCATATAAATGCAGTGTTGCTTGCTGATTGTCTGTAAGCAGCTTTATTGTTTGTTATGACTAATCATAGTCTATATTTCTTCTGATCCATGTCAGAAAACAAGGATGTAGCATCCAGGTTGTTCTGGGATGACTTTAAAGTTCTGCTTCATGTTATTGCTTAACAGTCCTGTACAGAGCAATGTTGCCATGTAAGGGATCAAGTCTGTGTCAGTTCACCATTTGCAAAGATTTCTGGGCGATAAATACTAAGATGGATGGCTAAGATGGATCAGCAGCACAGCCAATGTCTCTGGCAGTACCAGAAAAGATACATTAGGTTTGAGGTCCTGGTCCCACCCCTGCTGAAACAGATGGTAAAGTTCCCAGTCACTCTGGGAGAATTTACAAGCAGAGAGAATGAAGGAAAAATCGATCTTAATACCAGTCAGTCACTGAAGACTACAGCAGAGCAGTCATTGCCAGTCAACCTGCAAGGTCTCAATTGGAAATGGTATATTTATAACCCCCTCAAGCTAAGTTGCAGATTTAAAAGCACGTAAAATAATTCAACTTAGGCTGAAAACATGAAATACTTAATGCTAAATTGCTATCAATGGATCACCCACAATGAAAGTTAACAGCAATTAAAAGGATGAATAGTTCCTCAGACCTGTGCTTAAGCTATTTCTATTTGCATCCCCATTTGCAGCACAGAGAAAAAAAGCAAGAATTGCAGCCAAATTTGAAAGCTGTTAGCAGTCAAGCCTGGGTTCCAGACCCTGTCCTGATGAAAAGTTATCTTTTTCTTTTTGCTTTTAAACATTTCATGCAACACATGACAGCTTCAGTAAAGGAAGGAGGGGAAAAAAACATTCACACTTGCAGTTCTGCTATGAATGTTTGGGGTTCAAACCTCTTTTAACAGAGAAGAAAAACCTATCCCAAGTTTTCTTACTATACAAGTGGCAAGTGCTGTAGTGCTGAATTATTTGGAAAAGATACCTATCTTCCCCCTCCTGTCACCATCATCATGAGCTAACCTGCTCCTCTTCAAAGACTGCCTATATGGGAGTTACCTAGTTTGTGAACCCCTGTGAATCTTGAGTACTGTACATCCATGACACTGCCCAGGCTAAGCAGTCAGGAGGAAACTCAGTTGTATTAATGTAGGTGTCTGGAGATTTTAGCCATCTCCAGTTTGGCAGCAGCTGAATTTTGGCGTTTAATATATAAGAGAGAGCTTAGGAGCTGAAATCCTTTTTGAGTATGTAAATCCATACATTAAGCCAAAACATGTTCTGACTCAGATGCAGCAGCAGATTAAAAATAGGCAAGTGAATGATTGCTGCAGTTTGCTGTTGGTCACAGCCTCACTAGAGAAGCTCCTGCACCTGCAGTGGCAGAACAGTTTGTGGAATAGCTTCTGAGTTAGTGTTTCTTTAAGGTCAGTAGAAGAAGTCATTTTATGTTGACGCACTGGATTAAAAATGGAAAAGAATGACTCATGGCTCAAAATCTGTAAAACTGTAATCCCAAGGCCCCTTTTTCTAGCTGGATAGATCTTGATTTTATGTTGTGACATATATAATAACCTTCAGCAAAATAATCAGTAAACCTGCATTGGAGCTTTTCTGTTAGCAGGAATGTGTTTAGGAAGTAAGCAGTCAATTAAAAGGACTGGAAACCCTCCAGGTAAACAGACAAATGATGGTACTTGTGGGAGCATCCACTGACTTCAGTAGACGTGGGACTGAGCCATAAAATCTGGTTGTTTTGACAGTACCACCTCCCATCTTTCATAAAACTCTTATTTGCAGACCAGATAATTAAAAAAAGTCATCTTCCTCCTACAGTGATTTAGTATAGAAAGTATTACTCATACTTCATTGCAGTTTGTGTTTAAGACTATTGAAATAAATGAGCAATAAGAGAACACAGTCCTATTGGAGAGAACAGCCCATAAGTGCACTTGGTCTCCAGGTTCTTGCATCTGTTAAGTACTTAACGGGAAAGCTGTAGTAATAAACAGTTTTATCTGAATAGTGATTGATAAAGGAGAGAGAAGAATTGGTCCAAAGCTTGCCCAGAAGAGTCAGAAAAATTAACTGGTTAATAAATTAAAGTAAGGCCTTCCTGTGTGACAATTTGAGGATGGGTGGCACCTTCAGCAACAAGGTTTCTATTAAGTGGCGTGAAAGCTCTTTAGGAACTCTACAGTAATGGAGCTGAACTCTATGAGAGGTCCTTCTAGGATCAATCCTTGGAAGCAGGAGTTGGCACCATGACAAAGTCACAGCTAGATACAGCTTCTTGTTGTTCTTAGACCATTTGGGAAAACCACGTGGGAGACAACAGAGTGGAAGAGTCCATTTCGGAAGCTGGATCACAAAGCAAGCCTGCTGGGAAGGACTTGTGATTGTAGAATGCCAATTAAAGTTTGGCAGCAGCCCAAGGCTTTATTGAAGCTCCCTTTAAACTAAAGCTGTGAAGATGTGAGATATGATGAAAAGCGCATTGGACTACCCTTCAGCGAAACAGTAGGCTGGGTTCTGTAAGCAGTGAAGTGGAACATCTGATGCTGCTCTCTTAAGAGAAGCGTTTTCCCTACATGCTCTCTATAGTCCCCAAACCCAGGAAGAACTGGGATTATGTTATTCACTGCTCCCTGGTGAGGAGTTGGCTGACTTCATGCCAGAGGTGCCACTACCTTGTTTTTCCTTAATCAGTGCCGTAACCTAGCAGCTCATGAAATCTAGTCCTTCTTATTATGCGAGTATGAAAGCGTGCATATAATGTAGTGCATTTCTGTAGTGCCAGTAGTAACAGCATAATGAAAATAAAATCATATTTTTAAAGGTGGAAAATTTCACTGTCAACTTTTCTTCTTAATACATCTGCCCAAAACAGGAAGGAGTAAAAAAAAAGCCACTCTGATCTACACACTACATTAACTACAAATGAAAGGCTGTTCCCATTCTTTTTCATAGAGCTTTTCATGGGTAATCATTAACGTCTCATCTTAATAACTTTTCTTCACTTTACAGTAATGTCATGTTTAGTAGGGAGTCATTCTTTGGATCAAGCCTCACAAGAAAACTTAGGTATATACATTCAAGTAACAATCAAGCCTTACTCTTTTCATATTTCTTGCATGCCATTCTCTGCCTGCACTTTCTGTTTTTACTACAGTAGTTCATCTAACCACCATAAAAAGGGCAATAAGACTGGAAAGTTATTTAAGCATAAAAATAAAGTTGCATGACATTGCAGATAGTTCATTGTTCTGCTGTTCAGAAAACACGGGTATAATCTTGGCTCTGACAATGATCTGCTTAGAAACAAGTGCTTTTCTCTGTTTCCATAGAATGGGAATGATACTAACCTACTCTGCAAATAATTTAGAAATTTGCTGTAAGAAAAATATACTATAAGAGCTAAATAACATTCCTTATGCAGTCCCAACCCTGCCAACACAAATTCATGCAAGTTACTTTGCATCTGACTTCAGTAGAACAACATCTCCGCATGTGTATTTGCAGGTTCTGGTTCAGCAAATGGAAAGCAAGTGGATGCTTTTGATCATCTGAATAAAGTTAGTGACATGCTTACATATCTTGCTGAACTGTGACCTAAGATGTGGGGCAAGAATTTTATCTTCCTGCAGAGAGACATAGAAATGATTTGTGGTGCTTCAGGAATCTGAAAGACATATCATCAGAAATAATATTTTGACTAAACTGTCAAGCATTTTATTCTATTCCACACAAACAACTTGCTATCATTCAACTTCAGCTCTTTGTTCTCATTCCCACTTCATTTCACAACCATGAAATCATCGACACACAACTCAGCTTTTCTAGCTGAAGCTCTTTAGCTTTTGGAGACCTGCTAGTGAAGCACTCCATTTTTTCATTGCATGATTGGCCATGCAAAATATTCAAGAGATACTGATTTTGCAGTTTGTTTTATTGGTTAATACATGGAGATCTGGTCACTGCAAAGTAAAGAGTGGGTCAACATCCATGACGGTTACATCCATTGAAGAAAAATATCCATCCTGTTTTCACAAAGAATCAAACTTGGATCATTCTCCCCATGGATTTATGTGACATTGCTTATTTTTACCCATTTCAAATCATTTTAGAAAGTGTGGATGAGAAGAGGCACTAAGCAAAGTGTGCGTAAGGGCTCTTGCTCTTTCTGAAGGGCATCAAAGTTAAACCCAAATTAGGATTTGTGTTTATGTTTCTGGGCAAATAATCTGGATGGTAGATGAGTTTGGATTTAGAGTCACGCCTGCTCTTAAATACCAACGATGATAGACACCACCAAAGGGGGTCAAAATTGCTTGGCTGAAAAGGGATATTTCCTCCTCAGACATTAGAAGAATGCAAATTAAGCCCTCAAGATTCAGGGTGCAAAGTAACTTTAAATGAAGACATTAGTTGTCAAGACGTTGTACTCAAATATTTTGAGATAGAGCATTTTTGTGAGATCCTTTCTATAGCAAAGAATGTTAATTGATAAATGGGAAAGCCAATTGGCCAAAGTTCAGAAGTACTTTGTAAGTGTAGAATGCTCTTTGGTTTGTATTAAGAAAACTCATGGACTCTCTGAGATCAGTCAAATGTGGTCGCTGCAGGGTTCATGGCTGTCCTCATAATGTTAGTTTTGTGTTAATCTATTGGGAATAGTTCAAAGCATGATACTTCTGGAAATCTCATTCAGAATGTTTAATTTTCCAAAGCTACGTTCACTCATACAAGAACAGCTGATAATGTACTAAAATATTGGATTAAGTATGACTGCCTTTTGCTTCCAGTTCCTTGAGACCAACTAAATCTAGTGATTAGCTAAACTGTGAAAAATACGGAAACATTTCTTGATTTCTGTTAGTCTGTGTTAGGTGAGAATGGTAAATACATGGAAGAGGGCTGTGTTTGATTCACTGTTAACATTAATTCATTATTTTTCTTCTCATACATGTGCCATTTGTTTATGAAACTCCAAGACTAGGCAAAGCACAGAGTGGAGAGTATCTGACTTGCATGATGGGATGTAACTGCATTATTTCCTTGCATGACTGTTTCTGGAAAAGTATTTCTAGTTCAGTGGTTCCCACTCTTTATTCTGAGGAAGAGAAAAACATCTGCTGCAGAAGCCAGCCGTGTTTTGTATATCCAGCCATCAAATTCATCTCTCAGATGGTCCAAAATCATTCCCACTGCTCTTGGAGAGCAAGAATCTGAGAGCTGAGTTTTTCTTCAGGTGAGGAGCTTCCAAGCCAAACTGTCTGCATTGCTTCTGCCTTCCTCCCTTTATGGAGATCTGTATCTACCACAGAGTTGAGGAGTTCTCATTCTGAAACTCCACTTCAAAGATAAAGGTTTGGGGAATATTTTTATTCCATCCAAGGGAGGGGATGCAATAGCATGCAAGACAAGCAACAGCAACATATCCAAGCTAGTCAGAGAAACTAACCTGCACCTTTATCAGCATGTTTGGGACTAATTTGAATCCTCTGGTTTCTGGAACTGCACTGGAAGTCGGGATTCACATTTCTTGAACGTAAGGAAGCCAAATAAAGTCAAACCACTGTCCCAGCAGGAGAAAGATTAGCTAATATCAGCAGGAGGAACCTGAATGACAAGCAGCAGTACATGACCCTGTGGGTGGGAACCACTGTCCTAGCCATTTTCATGAAGGATGATGTGATCTGCGCATGTTTCATACTCTGAGACCGAGCCACGAGCATGCTGTTTTAATGAAGGAGATTGTGTCATTAGAACAAATGTTTCCTAAGTTTGTTTTTTTTTAAACAGCACAATGAAAACAAAAACCCCAGCAGACCCAGATTTCATCCCTTGGAAATGAGAATAAAGTCCATTTTGTTTTTCTGATGACAGCTAGTCATTACCTGGAAAGAAGCTTGGGTTTTGTTTTGGGTTTTTTAGTGTATACAATATATTGTTATATTTTTTCATGTAAAGCTGATGAATTATTTTCTGATGATTCCACTGCTCTGGCTGCCTGGATATGAACATTGTCTGTATTTGTTGCATAAACATACCGTTATGAATCGGAATGTTACTTTAAGGGTTAATCATCAGGATCAATTAACGAGGAAAGCTTCAGCTCAGATAGATAACTTTAAGTTAGACTAATGACTTCTTATCTAGATCTTTCTGTAGTCAGTAACAAGAGATAAGCTCCTCCCAAATGTAAAGTCACCCCAAAGTGAAATAGAACCGAACTGCACTGTAGGTTGCTAACTTCCCACTGATTAGAGAAAGATGTCAAAAGGTTAATCTTAGGCAGGACATTTAATTTTTTAAACAGTTTAAGACAGATCAGAGGAGTGCTATTAAACCTGGGATGCTCAAGCAACAGTCTCAGGACAACAATTTGTTCCTAAACTGACACTTACCAGCAAGAAAGTTGAGAAATCCCCTAGAAAGAGAATTTGGGAAAGCTTTTGATTGATATTCTCTACCTTAAGCTCCTTCCCTCCAAAACCAACCATAAATGAGTGTGCCCACATATGCAGTGGAAAAATATCACTATCACTGTGAATAAATAGCTTTCTATGCTGAATGCAGAGGAATATTTTGATCTGTTCTGATCTATGAGTAGGATATGAAATCATGATCACTACTATTCTTGTATAGCACCATGGCAGAGATTTCTTCATGCATTGCCTATACTTCTGTCCTATACTGAAACAAAAATGATCCTCAGGAGTAATGTTTTGGATAATTTAGATCATCCACTGAGCCTTTTCCTGCTGGTCTGATCCCTATAGATCCTTTCAATGCACTTTGCGCCTCCTTGTCTTCTGGTAAAGAAAGCAGTTATTACAGGAGTTTTAAGGGGAAAATTTGAGAGATCAGGGTATGTATTTTAAAGGACTACCCAAGTTTCTGGAAAGAGAGTCGGAGGCCATATGTAATGAGAACTATCTGCTAACACAGTATTAAACTGCTTTTTAAAAGCAATAGTAATCTTCTGTCACATCTATTTTTCTGCTTCTTCATCTTTCAGGTTCTCCACCTTAAACATATTCTTGTCTTGAGAACTTCTCTGTGTTCTGTAGTGTTACATCTAATGCATTACTCAAAGACAATGCATACTATGTGACGACTACTTGCCTTTGAGGAAATCATCTAAGGCTTACTTCTAGATTTCATCCTTCTCATCCTGGAAGCTGTCTCCAGAAGGTCTTCATCCAAGATGTCCAGTCTTGAAATCCTGCAGAATGGGTGGACTATAGTCTCCCCTTTCATTTGAGAGTCATTGGCGACCGATTGATACCCCCACCAGGAAAAGCTGATCTTCACAACAAGCCTGTTGTACATACAATTTAGACCAAAAGAAAAATGGCTTAATTTTGTTATCACTGATTAGATCTACTCATCCAAAAATTGCTTCAATTCCTTTCTGCTTGTAGCTTATTTTACCACCATGCCACGCATGCTTAATCGCTCTTTCTTTTCTTCACATTGAAGAATTCACAAGCTCAGTCTCTCTAACATCTTCATACCCATCAGTTTATATTGCCTGGCTGAAACTCTTGTCATTCAGCAAGACGTTTGGTACACATCCTTTTCAGTGATGTTCTATGTTTCTAGACTCTTCTTGACCATCCTTCTTGAAATTAATTTCTCCTTCAAACTTTGATTTTATTCCTAGCGAGACACAATAATTTATTTTCTCTATATATTTGCCCAAAATAAAACCACGCAAAAGTCAGTCAGTTGACATTCACTTCCTCAGCTTTATTTTTCATGCCCTTTCAAAACTTTCTCAGCAGCTGTCGTCTTCTCCTGTGTATATATTTCCTATATATATGGTAACTGAGCATCTGAAGAATCCAGATTTCACAGAAATGCCACAGAGTTAAGATATCTGTCCTGTAAAGCACTACGGCTCTCAATCCTGGCCTCTGCTACAGAGAAGGGAAAATGATGCAGAAAAGAGGCTATAGGTTTCTCCCTATCTTATTAGAGAACAAATCACTTGTTGGGACTCTGAACTCACCACCAGTTCAGCCTTCAGAATGTTTTAGTGTATCATCAATAGGATCAAGAATCCAACCCAAAAACAAGCACCGTGGAAGTTATGTCATAAGTAAGTTCTTATGACCGAACATGAGACTGCCATGTACATTCTGTGGTGGTTAATTTGCTGCAGATGTCAACAAGTAACATCTCCTATTTTTATAGAAAGAAGGAAGTAATCCCTGATTTTCGCTCTGTACGTTTGTCTGTATTTTGAATACCTTCCCCTCATGCCATGAATTCCTCAGGAAATGACACAAAGTCTGAGAAATGTTAATACCATCCACTTCGGCTGTTCTAATTCTTCAAATCCATGCTTTTATCTTCTGGAAACATATCAGGATTTGTTGTGTCTCCGTACTTACACAAGTCCTTCTTAGTTGCTACTTCCATATTTGCACACACATATGCACTTCATGAATCAATGACAGGGCAAGTGTCTGAATTTACTAGGCTGTAGGAACTGCATTCACAAGTATTGTCATATTGTCACCAAGAAAATTGAGAAGGCCTGAAAAAGCGTCTTACACAAAGGTTTAGTGCTTCCATCTTCTATGACAAGGAAACCCATATTTCATTACCTCCTGTGTCAAAGAAACATTAATCAGAAACAGATAGTAGAGGGCCCCAATAATGCACATTAAAAAGAAACCAAACAACTAAGCAGAAACCCCTGCAACAGCTATGATGTTCAATGCTCAGATCAGCTAGGAATTTTGTATATGGACAACTGCTGTGTTCCTACCAGAGTCAGCACTCCTATGAAAGCTGTGATGTGTCTTTAAATCTCACCTTTATCATTCTAAAAGGAATGTCTTACAACTTCCATTGTGGTGGGATACTGCAACAGACAGAACTCTGAGATACAAATAGATGCCAGAGATGATAGAACTTAAAAATAATCCATCTGACCACGATAACTCCTTAAACAGAGCATAGATAGTTCTGTGAGTGAGACCCTTCACTTACAAAGTCTGTGCACAAGTCTCCATCTATCTTTGCCCACTGTGCCCTTGCATGGTGGACCCTCCCTATGCTTGCCTCTCCTGCCAGCAAGCTTAGTGGTTTCAGCCGAGTGTGCTGCACAGATACCTCTGCATACCTACAAAACCCCTTTCCTGGTCACCCCTGCTGTTTGTCCTTCAGCTCTGCTCCCATCTGTGGTTCTCAGAAACCTGCTAGCTGTGGTGGCTTCTTCCCTCCCACCCTTCAACCTGCTTGACCCAGTTGAGAGCTTCCCCTTGGCCATGCTGAGAGCCCCCCTTGACCCAAGAGCTCCCCCTTGGCCATGTGTGCTCAATTCACCTCTCCCCATAGCTGTCCCACATTGCAATGTCCACGAATGGGTTAAAAGGAAGGCTTTCTTCCCATGGCATAGCCCCATTTTTTTTAATTTTTATTTTTTGCAATTAACAAATATTTAATCAGCAAAGTGAACAAGCAAATCAAATATTTTTACCATCTGTCGCCTACAAAGTCTTCAGACCATATATAAGCTGATCAACTTGATGGCTAATTCCTTTTGTGTTGCTCTTTTCTTCAGCATTAGTAATTGCCTTTAAGTCTGTTGCACTCACTAGGCTGTCAGAAGGGTTATTAATGTGGGTAGATGTGGCAGGTAGATTAAATTCTAGCTATAAGTTGTCACTGAAGGACAAATGTCTTTGGTCAGTGTATCTGTAAGAGGACAGTGCAAGGAATCATCAGAGGAACAAAATATGTCAGTTTATTCATATAGGTCACCTCGATTTCTATATAGTGAGAGATGATTGAAAGTGGATGGTGAAGAGAACTGGGTAGTCTGCCCTACTACGTACCTAGTTATTGCTTGGCAATGACTTTACAATATTCTGCTGGTAGTTTGTTTAATTCACAGCACACCTGACTTTATTTCACTCCTGGTTATACACAGCTCTCCTATGAATACAGGCTGAATACAGCTGGGGTTCTGACTTTGGAGAAGAGAAGGCTCTGGGAAGATCTTAGAGCAGCATTCCAGTATCTAAAGGGGCTTACAAGAAAGCTGAAAAGGAACTTTTTACAAGGGCATGCAGGTATAGGACAAGGGGCAATGGCTTTAAACTGAAACAGGGGAGATTTAGATTAGATATAAAGAAGAAATTCTCTACTGTGAGGGTAGTGAGACAATGGCACAGGGTGCCCAGAGAAGCTGTGGCTGCCCCATCACTGGCAGTGTTCAAGGCCAGGTTGGACAGGCCTTGGAGGAACCTGCTCTAGTGGAAGGTGTCCCAAACCATTCTATGATTCTATGAGTTATTAATTTAATAGCCTCCAATAGACTCAGTACCTAGAGAAAGCGCTGAACAGGGAAACCAAGCATCCTTATAATTAGACAATAAAACTGCCTAAGTAGCGGTGTTTTCCTTCTTAATAATTAATGTGCAGACTTGCTACAGGAGCTGAAGCACTGTGATACATTACCTGGAGAGGATAGCAAAGACCCTCTGGTAACATTTTCAACATTGATGCAAAACATGCTCAAAAAAAGCAGTTAATTATCTGTGGAGCTTAACCGTTTCTTACAAAGACATTGATGTATTATGGTAGCCCCAGCAGTGTCCTTGTGTACAAAACATTTTTTGAGCCCATTTTAAACTTAAAGATCATGAAAATGAGTTAAAAGTGTACAAAGGAGGAAAATGATTACTTTTGCTTATTTTGTAGCCAAAAGCTGGGTCTCTTGGATCGGGTTCGTGGTACCAATACTAAAGGAAAGCTATTTACCCCTCTGAATGTAGATGCCATTGAAGAAAGTCCTTCAAAAGAGCCTAAGAATGTTGTCTTGAATAATAAGGAACGTTTTCGCACTGCATTCCGAATGAAAGCGTACGCTTTTTGGCAAAGCTCAGAAGGTAGCCCATCTGTGATGATTTCTTTCTATCCATCCCCTACTCTCCCCATTTTACTTTGCTCCTCTGCATCTTCTGTTAAAGGTTTGTGACTTTCTGGGCCAAGCATGGCTGTTCCCTGGTTTTACATGGCACATTTGGGAAAGGCCCAGGAAATGAATGCTGGAGTTCAGGCAACATGCTGCTTGAAATAAGACAATGGCCCTCCATAAAAACAGTAATTGATATGGGGTAAAGCTGGTGATGGAATCAACATATTTGACCTAGAAAAAGAGGTCTCACTGGGAAGTGAATCTATATCCCCCCAAAAAGGCACATGCCATCATGGCTTGGTTTATCAGCAGGGATGATATGTTAGGGTAGCTCCCTTCTAGACTGCATCCAGCCCTGCATTTGCCTGAGTCCAGACATCTCAAATATCTCCTCACAGCAATCTCTTAAAACCTTGTTTTATAGAGGGCTGTTTCCCTCCCATTCTCCCTACAACTGCTGCCCCTCAGCAGATTTCCAGTGGGTGTCCATGCAACATTATAGGACATTTTTCCTCTCAGCTTCCTTGAGCACACATTTTCCTCTTCTTGCGTATAGCATCTAAATGGTCTCCAAATAAGTTTCTCCTTTATTGTGCCAGCGCATTAATGCATACTGAACATAATACCATGGATTTAGTCTGGGTGTCTACACTGGAAACTTGATTATTCTCTTCCATGAAGGTACATGAGCTCCAAGCAGTTCAAGTGGGAGGAGAACTTGGCCTGTAGCTTCTACATCTGTTTTAGCCTTATGTAACATAATTTTGGCGAAAAATTTCTCATTCTGAAATCTTATAAAAGTGGGAACTTTTAAATCCATTGGAAAGGAAGAGAAGTTCCCAGTGTTTCCGAAATGCTGGAATCTGAGAAGAGATCCCTCAAACAATGTCCCACTAGAATTATTAAAATGCTTTTAAGAGCTGACCAGAGAAAAAGGAACCTGCAAGAGATGTTCCTTTACTAAATTCCATTTATTTTATGCAGTGCTTTAGTAGGCATACTTCCCTCTAAACATTGCGTGGTCAGATGTTCACAGAGCTGTTTTTTGACCTGGTTTTCAGATGCAGGAACAGGTGAACCCATGGCAGAAGAGAGAGGCGACGGTAGCGACTTCCTTATGGAAGATATGATTCCCACATTCAAGACAGCCATCCGAGCTGTCAGGTAAATGTCTTTGATGCTCCTCAATGCTTTGCTTTGAGTTTGTGTTTTTATGCTTGAAGACACCACATTCCCATGTTGTTACATGTTGATTCATTGCTACTGTTCTTGCTTTTATAAAATGCAATAGATTAGATACTTCTCATCATTTAGATATTTCTAGATACACTGAAAAGCACAAGACAGATCCTATTTAAAGTCCTTTTTGAAAATACACAGAGACGGAAATATATTTCAGTGCCATTTTTGCAAGATACTCTATAAACATTTTTATTATAAAATAAAATTTTTTACAATTCCTCATTAAAATATGCTGTAAATACAGTATCTTGCTCAATTTAGTGACTATCATATTTGTGTAAAAGTGGAATTTTAGCTTAACAATAAACTCGGAGCTGACTCAACTCTTCTTTATTCACAGTTGTACAAGCGTGCAATATAGTTTTCAGCTGTCATCTTTTAATAGATGCTGAGGTCTTCACTTCAGCAGTTTTCAGCTTGTGACGTGTGTCACCTCTATTTTCATATCACAGGAGATATCCCCTATGGGTAGAAAACTCCTAGTAAGGCTTGATAATGTGTTTAGCACATCAAGCGCATAGAATTCATTCACTGATGTTCTGTTACTTCTCAGTACTTTTTTACTTTCTTCCCTTGAAAATGCCCCCATAGGAAAATACTCTGCTTTCATTGCACTTGCTTTTTATTCCAGAAGTTGTTGAGTTTTGGTCCAGGAAGTTACTACCTTCCAGGTGAGATACTGCAAGTCTGGAGTGCTCCAAAATTATCTTCTTAGAAAAACTTCAAGGAAGATGGTTATAAGTATATAACCATATGCCTATATGTATATAGCCATAGTATATATTCTCCTGGTTCTTTTCCATCTTGGTGCAGGAGAACCAGTTATTAAGAATTCCAAGTTTTCTCATGCCTGCTGAAATCCAGGCTTTGCTCATGTTACCCATGACCACTTCCCTCCCAATGGAAGTCCCTTCATCCCTGCTTCGCCCATAGTTTTCCCTTTCTTTCCCTTCTACCTGCTTGCTTTAAAACATGGACTATATATCTGTCCAGTTTTCCAGCCCCATCTCTATGAAACATGCTAATATTACTTTGCAAAACTTCCTTTCCCACATCCTGTCCAAATCTAATTGATTCATGCAATTTCCCTTTAAACTTAGTCTTATGCCAAGCTGTTTGCTGTTTGGTTGGTTGGTTTTGGTATTAATGTTTGTGTTATCTTGTACAGTTTACTCAGCCCTCAAATATTAACGGGAAGTAATTCTTTCAGATAAAACCACTTAATGGGTTTTCAGGGTCAGGATTCAAAATTGCAATCAATAATAGTGTGATTCTTATTTTCCCTTTCTCCTGTTTAAATGTATAGTTTTGCTGCTATCATATGTAGTTTGGCTGAGTAGATATATGTTTAATTGTGAAATCTTGAAAAATATATGAGCCACAGATTTTAAGAGTCAAGAACCCTTAAAAAGTGGCAGTGGAATTATTTTTGCTAAATGAAAGTTTATGCAAATTATGAAAAAAAGGTAAAAAAGCCACCAACCTTGAAGAAAAAACAGCTCATAATCTTAACAAATCACAGAAATTCCTCAATTCAGACCAATAAGAACATGAAGATTCTACTGAGAAAGCAAACCCTTAGATCCCAACCCTGAGATTAAAGAACTAGAATACTGTTCATTCTCTGTGTATGTTTCTTTTTGATTTGTTTAGTCTACCAAGATATGGCAGTGTGAACTAATGTATAAACAGAAAAGAATAAAAAACAGAATGCCGAATAGTTTTCAAATGCTCTGGCCAGCACTGGTTCTTATTATAAGAAATCTGCTATTAATTACTAGGGCATTTTATAAATAAAATAATAATAACAGCAGCTGAAACTGTTGTTGTTGTTATTACTATTATTATTATTATTACAACAACAACAGTAATGTCACACAGCTGTTTCTTCAGGGACACTTCAGGCAGTTCTGACACTTTCTTTTCTCCACAATTTGAACTGCTGCTGACTTCTTAACTTGCACATTTCTACCTAATTAGCATTTCCTTGTTGTCCAAAGTTTTCCCAGGTGCAAAAGGAAAACCAAGCTGAGAATGATTCTGCATTGCATCTGCTATGAATTAGTTTTGTAAGAGGCTGAAACATAAAAAGTCGGCTTTAGCTTCACAACTTCAAAATCTCCTGTTACTTTGTGGTACAAAATCAAATTCCACGTGTGATTTTGTAGCTTTGAATCATTTCTAGTTATGATTTTAGTGCTGACAAATACATTTTGTGCATATAACTTGTTTTAGCCTATTGGTTAAGAAAAGCCAAGTATTGTGTATTTACAAATGTGGTATGATATTAGAGATTCTCTGCCTATGTTTTATTGCCTTGTTTTGCAATAACATGCTCCATTTCCAAACATCCAGAATATTTCTCCATTATTCACTAAAACTGCAAATTATCATGATGGAATTATGATGGAAGTTGATAATTCTTCTGTTTATTATGCAGAATACTACAGTTTCGTCTGTATAAAAAAAAATTCAAGGAGACTTTGAGGCCTTATGATGTAAAGGATGTGATAGAGCAATACTCAGCAGGGCATCTTGATATGCTTTCCAGAATAAAATATCTTCAGGCAAGGTAAGAATCCTCTGGTAAATGAGGAAAATTGTGTAGCTGTGCTGGCAAAATTAAAGCATAGTTGTTCTGTTTGCACACAAGGCCACCCAGAAGCTATGTCTTTGCTTAGTGTAGCTGGTTCTTATTTCAAAGTGCTTTTCCATGTACTGGGCTATCTCATTTTCAAGGATATAATAAGAAGTCTGTTTCCTACCTCACTATTACTGTTCTAGAAAAGGTGCTCTCTTAAATTACATACCAAGAAACACCATTGTTACTCTGTAAATTGAGCTCTGCATCAAATAAGCTTAGATTTCATTGCAGTAATACGTTTTTGAACTTGAGAAGTTGAGGGGGGCTCGTGATGTTCGAAATCTGCACCTATCTGTGATGTCATCTACATGCCTTATACTTTCTTTTCCTCAGACTGACGTGTTGTGTGATCTTGGACAGCAGAGCACCTCTCAGATACTCATCTGAGTCCAAGCAGCTAGTCATTGGAGTATCAGGAATCTCCACCTTTTCTCAAATTCTGATTTTCGCTAAACCTGATGGGTCTCTCCTCCCATTTTTAGGGCAGTGGTTACTGGAATTTTTTGACAATTACACTACTTCGTTCCTTTGAAGGAAGTCAAGTCATGTATTTCAAATGGCAGTGTTTGGAAGTAGTGAGCTAGATAATTATTATAATGAAATTACCAGGTAATTACAATTCAGTGTATCAGTAGTGGACCCAGAACAGAGCAAGCACATCATGACCCTCAGTATATTACTAAATCAAAGTGTGCTTCCTTTTTAGCTTTTTTGGCTACTGTTTGTCACAGAGATGCACAGCGTTTTCTACCATTTGTCAGCATTTAGAGATGGACTTACGGAGTTGCACTTTTCTTTTTTCCAGAGTAGATATGATTTTTACACCTGGACCTCCATCTACTCCCAAGCATAAGAAATCTCAAAAGGGAGGAGCTTTTTCTTACCCTTCACAACAGTCTCCCAGGTGATTTTTTTTTTATGCCTAGTATTTTGCACACACCAAAACAGAAATAAAAGTATTCATTCATATCAATAGCATGACCTTCATTCATCCAGCCAGTCGCTGTTTCAGTAATGGTACTGAGAGGTTATGTTGCTACAAGCTTCCCTAGGAATAATGTATGATGGAAATTTAAACTTAATGGCTTTGTCTAGCTCAGCTTCTCCATGGTCTGTAAATGTGTTTTTATATGAAATATGTACATTTGGTTGCTGATGTACTGAATTTCTACCATTGAACCAGTAAATCCACTTAAAAATTCAATAAACATCACCAATAGCTTGAAGGTAATTCAGTTACCTTGTGAACTGAAAAAAGTTCCAAATGGCAAACACAGAGTTATAATGATGCTCACATAATGACTGGTAAGAATTACTGAGAATAAATTGCAATACCAGGTTTCTGGGTGTGAAAGTTACAACATGTTATTGTATCGCTGCATTCGTGGTAGCAAGAATTCAGTAATAAATGACATGTCTTCTGTTATTTACAACTATCAATCTGTCAATAAATACCAGTGAAGAACCACGTAAGACCATCAACAATCTGTCCCCAAAGCTGTTGTGTTTGCTCAGAACAAAAGTAATCTTACGCAAAATAAATTAAAACTTGTCTTTATCTGGTTTATCCACTTTTTTTTTTTTTATTTTAAAATACCTAAAAACATGTAAATGTGAAGACAGAGACCTACGTATATGGAAAAGGCAATGATTATTTGGGAAACAAAGCAGATTGCAAGATTTGAATGAGTCTATATCATCAGTAACCCAATGTGCAAACTCTGACATGTTTAAGTTACAGTTTCTTTAGTAAGACGTATTCACATCTATATTTTGAATTGTGTCAAAAGAGAAAAGCTGGACCTGTTAAAAGAAAAGTTTCATGGTATATTTGTTCTAAGTCATGTCAAAGAACAAGTGCTTAAAAACTGGTTTTCTAGATTTGTACGTAGGTTATGGAAAGACTTTGAGATTCCTTTGAGGTTGGTTTAGAAACATTTTGATAAAGATTTAACTTGCTAATGACCATCTTAGATCACATGAAGTTATAAATGTCAGTTCTTTAGTTAAGCAGAGGTCATATTCTCACCTCCTGAAGTTAGCCCATCTGATGGACGGGCAGAGGGAAATTACATAAAAGAAAATTTATTCAGGAATCTACTTTAAATCTCCAGGTCAAACTCTCTTTTCAGCATTTCGGGTCTCTGCCACTCACTATTTGGTTTAATGAAACTGAGTTAAAAAAAAAACACTCAGCCTTGAAACTCAGATTCAATCTTTAAAGACAGTAATTATAAAGAATTAGATTTTAAAACACATGGCCATTTTTAGACCCACTATCTGGACTACCTCAACTTTTTTCACAAACCTGAAATTTTTCCAGTAAACATGATATTAATTTCATTTTCACATTGAAAATTTTGTTTGCTTCTGGTTTTTTCTTAATCATTATCTTAATTTCAAAACAAAAGAATTTTCATATTAGAAATCAGGAATACATATTTTTAGAAATGCATTGCAATCACATAGAATAGACTTTTGCTCCTGTTTTTACTATAAATATTTTCTTAGCTGGGATTTCAAGGAGCTATATGAATATACCACTCAGATGGTAATTCTGTTTTCTGATGTAAATTACTTACTGTGATGCAAAGAAACATTGAACACTAATAGAATTATTAATTCTTTATAGAAATGATCCATATGTAGCCAAAGCATCTACAGCAGATACTGAAGACCAAAGTATGATGGGCAAATTTGTTAAAGTTGAAAGACAGGTATGTAATTTCATGACAATGATGGAGGCTGAGGTGCTTGTATGATTATGATATGCTTCTGTATGAGTCTTTGGCTTATCCAGGCAGATTTGTACTGTCAGTGATCAAAATTCACACAGATCTTGTACTAATAATCACAGAATTAAGTTGTTAGTTTTCAATGAAATACTTTAATTAAAAGGGAAGTGTACATTTTGAAACCTGGGGAATGAATATTCACATATTCACCAGGTTATATATGGCAGCAAGACCCTAACCACAATGTTCAGATGGGACTTTTTCAGTCCCTTAAAGTCCATACTCATTATGTCTGGTGTTTTCTTGTGAGCACCACTTTCTTTTGCAGGGTCTGGTGCTCAAAAGGGCTGCCTCCACAGGCATTTTGATGACTTCTGTGCATCCTAGCCTATTGCTTAGCAAGTCAAGACACTCGTTTTTAAATACATAAGTAAGATAGAAGCAAGTGACACTGGTTCTCATGGAATGTAAATGTTTAGGCACAAAGTACTATCAAAAGACAAATGAAATTACTCCCCACACTAATGTTGTGGAGCTATTGTTAGAAAATAGCCCTGTGTGCAAAGGTAATTTCATCTGTTGCATTTTGCTGATATCTATTATGTAGCATCAAGTCTTCAAACCTCACATTGTAGACTACTGTTGGGTGCTGGACTGTCAAATATCCAGCCATGCTAAGAATTTTTTTGAGCACAGGTCATTAGGGACAGGTCTTAATCTGAGGCAGTTAGAGGATAAGCTGGTATCGACTGCAGCCCAGCTTCCATGGAAAGGGAAAGTCATGGTTATCTTACAGTTACTTTCATGACCAATAAATATGGCAACATACTATTGCTGGGGCAGCACCCATATGGAAACATTGAGTCTTTCATTGAACAACTCACTTGAGAAGATAAAACAACATTGTTCTTTTTCAGGTTAATGACATGGGGAAGAAACTGGATTTTCTTGTTGATATGCATATGCATCATATGGAGCAGCTGCAAATACAGGTTGCTGAGATAAGTCCATTGAAAGAAACTGCTTCTCCTGCAAAGGAGAGGAGAGAAGAAAACAAATATTCTGAATTAAAAACAATAATATATAAATACACTGAGCAGAGTGCTCATGAAACTCCGTACAACTTCCAACAGGTTCCAGTCAACAAAGTCAGTCCTTATGGCTTCTCAGCACACGGTCATATGACTCATTCACAACCTGTATCAATAGGTGGGCAAAACTCTGGCAAACTGCAAGCCACACCTTCCTCAACTTCATATGCAGAAAGGCCAACAGTTCTGCCTATATTTACATTGATGGACTCCCAGGTTAGCTACCACTCTCAAGGAGACCTACAAAGCCCTTACTCGGATAAGGTGTCTCCAAGGCAGAGAAGGAGCTTAACAAGAGACAGTGATACTCCATTGTCCCTTCTCTCCGTCAACCATGAGGAACTTGAGCGCTCCCCAAGTGGCTTCAGTATCTCCCAAGACAAAGACGACTTCCCGTTTGGCCCCAACGGGGGATCGGCATGGATGAGAGAGAAACGCTACCTAGCAGAGGGGGAAACGGACACAGACACCGACCCTTTCACACCAAGTGGCTCCATGCCTTTGTCTTCTACAGGAGATGGGATTTCAGATTCAATATGGACCCCTTCAAATAAGCCAGTTTAAAAGTGCGTGTGGGGGCAGTCACTGGTTGACTTCTCCATGTAATGTAAGCATACTTTGTATATCTCACTTACTCTACACCCAAAGCTTACTAGTTCAAAACACCAATGGCTGCATAAGATGCATGTGATATTAGTGGTAGTCATTCTGCACCATTTCATACAATTTACTAATGCAGTTTTTTTCATGCTACCAAAACTAAGGAGCTTAGTTTTGAGCATGGTTTGCATGACTTTACCCTATATAAATGGTACAGCTGATTTCTTCTATGATACATATCTATCTGATACTCTTCAATACAACAATGGTGATTTGATAACAGGCAAGATATGGTGGTCCTTGCTATAGTTTGCAAACAGAGCAGCAAAGTGAAAATATTTTTAGGAGCAATATCTCTTTGTGGAAACATGACATCTGAATCCATTTCTGATACAAGTAAATCAATCTCTAGTCAACCTATCCAAGAACATCTAATATTCAAAGCAGGGATAAAGCTGAGTCAAAGTTAATGACCTTAATGAAATGGTTTTGTGAACTGAATGTTTCTCGTGATCATTTATACAACTACCCATGAAATACAATGTCAAAGTGAGATTAAGGGTAGAATTTAAAATCATTGATGCCACCTCCTGGGATTGATCATGGGTATTTATTGTAAAATGTAAATATAAATCTCTTAAACTACTTTGAAAATCTTCATTAGCATTTATAAAATCCATGAATGTGTGCCATCTTTGGGATCAATGTACAAATAGATAAATATCATTTTGTCACCTATCCCTGAGCAACACAGAGATAAGTATGCTCCCTAGGGCTTCATCCAAATATTTTTTCATGGGAACTAGAAATTGTGTTGAAAGAGAGCAGGAAAACAATATAACCCACTGATAACAGGGCAGAAATGAATCAAAGATCTCACCACTACAATGGGAATGTAGTATCTATACAGCTAGTAAAACTAGCCTGTCCAAATAACCTATGCAGGACTTACCTGGTGTCAGTCCAGATGTGCATGAAATATTGTCCATTTGATGTCAAGTTTGATGGCTACCAACTCTTTACAGCTAACAGAAAGCTAATCAGTACGGTGGTGAGTACAGGGTACAAGAACCAAGGCACAAATCAGCTGTAGGATGAGATTAATCTCATCTTTAACTCAATTATCTACAATGACCAAATTTCAAAGGAGCAGAGGGGACTTGCATAGATGTCAACTGATCAAAGACACCCACCGTCAGTCCTGTTGAGGATGACCCATGTTACTCAACACAATGGCTACAACGCCATGGCTAGAGCACTGACCAACAAAGATACAAGGATTTGGCCCATGTAAAATGTTAGAAAGCGGACTTGAGATAGTGACTGCTTGTATTATACTGCAGCTGCACAACTGAGCATCCTTGGTATATCCAATCAGAGCACAAGATCTTGTATCTCCAAGAAAGAGATACAGACTTCCCAGTATTTACTGGATATTGTACAGGCCTGGATAGAATGCACTCCAATGGAAGATACCTTGTTGGGTTTTGCCCACTTTAGTAAACATCTTTGATTCCTCACTACTGTTGACATCTTATAAGTCATTCCATCCAAGGAAACTTGATTGTCTTCCAGAAGTAGTCATTGCCTTCATCTTCATCATTTATTCTCTGCTTGAAGAGGCATCTAAAGGATTAGGATCTTGCTTCATCTGCTTCTTCAGCTAAATTATGATACATCATTCTGGGACACATCTTCAGTGAGAACAAATTGCTGTGCATACTTGAATAAGTAGTGCAGACCTGTTACAGCATTTGAAGTCCAGGCTGTGTCTGTGGAGCTGTTCTGAGGCAGCAACTATAATGACATGAGGCACAATTTTGGTAATTACTTAATTGACAAAATAGCCATTGACCTGAAAGATTGTCTGTGCTTGGTGCAGTTTCATGGCTAAAATTGCAGAGAATAGAACTAGCTGACAAAAGTGCAATTCATCATCATTTGGCTTATTGAGAAGAATTCCTTGACCATCAGTGATTCTTGCAAATACCTGCATTGAGCCTGCTGCAGGCTCGCTGATGCAGTAATACATGTCTATGGCCACTTATATGATTTAACCCTCACCTGACAAACGAAAAAAAAAACCCAAAACTGATTTTAACATTGCTGGAGTTCAGAAATTCATGTAAGTATGTGCTAGACAAACCCGCTTCACTTTTCTCATATGCCAGGTGCCTGGCATTCCTCCTGATTCCATTTGAGCTTGGCCCTTCTTAAAATGCTTTCTAGATCTGAGCAATCAAAAGTCAAGTCAGACAAAGCCCACTGAGAAATCTGTGAGTATCTTTGACAGGGACTATGCCATGGAGCTCCCTATCCAATTCCCCCTCAAGTTCTTCAGTTCAGGTTTCTAATCTCTCCAATGCCAGGTCATATAAAAGGAATCTTTTCTCAGTATTCAACCTTGCTGAAAATCCATAAATCACCTCATTATAAAGTCACGTTTATTCCAAGAGAAAATCCAAGCAAGGGCAGAGACTTGGGTGAGTTCCCACCTGCACGCTGTGTGTAGCCTCAGGCATTCCTCTTCTTAAAAGACCCTAGTGGTAAGCACAGCAAGAGCCTCTGCAGTGGGCATCACTGGATCCTCTGGAAGACACCCAAGAAGAGAGTCAAGGAAGCTCTGGTTAGCTTACTTTAATATGATTTTTTTTCTAACAAACTTCTTTGCCCTGAAACCAGTCACTGCTATGTTCAGTAGGGTGATGTGCCTAATGGCTGTTTGTCTTTTACACCATCTGGATTAAAATTAGGGTGTGCATCAGTCTGCCCTCTATGCTGACAATAGGTGCGTCAAGATGCCACCAGCAAAGTGAGATCTGGAGACCTGATGTGGGGTCTGCATGCGAGTTTCATCAAACTCCAGTTCAGGTTGAGTCCAGGCTGTGCATCAGCCTTGGAACTGCAGTTAGGTGTCTGCCATAGATACTGGACAGAATAAGGTATCTGTGATTATTGACTGTGGCAACATTTAAAATGTCAGGACCTGTTTTGCAGAATAGGTTTAGCACAAAAAGAAATTGTTATTCACAGTTTCGTTTGAGAGAGGCAGCTGGTCAATAATACTCTTCATTCTTCCGTTTGAGTGTGACATTTAAGTTCAACAGCTATCATTTTCAGTTGGGTTGGATCTTCCTCATGTCTAGACTGACACTGACACTTTGTTTACATGTAGTTAATGTTAAAAGTAATTAACCATTGGAATCCACTCTTTGATAAGACTTGAGTCCTGCAAGTGACCAAGGATTCCTTTCAGGCCTTGAGATGTTTTCTATAATGAGAAAGTGGGGGGGCTTTCCTCTGCTCTTTCTGAAGCCATCAAGAAACCTTCTCAAACTGCTGCACTGGGAGCAGGACTGGGTCTTAATCTTCCTTTATTTATGAATTTCCTTGTGAAAGACAGCACTGATCTGAAGATGCTTTCCTTAACTACATTTTTATGCTGATTTTTCAGTCACTAACAAATGGCACAAGCCTGGAAGTTTTGGGAAGGTGAGTCTGTGTTTACATTGTGTGCTTCTCTTTGCAGTTCTCTTATCAATCAAGTTCCCTATCTTTAGATTCAAACTGAGGATATTTCATTAAGGCAGAAGTGAATGTTCAGTTAAAGAATGCACATATAGAAAATGTGGTTTGTGCTCCATTTAAGGAGTTGGTCCTTTAAAAGAATCAAGTGAGGAAATGGCTGTTGTCCTTGCCTTGGCTTTTCCCTGCACTGAATTAATCAGTCTGGCTTCTATCAAACTAAAAGGACATGGAGAGATTGATTGAACAGCTCCTAAGCTGACTCTGGCTACACTGGCTCTGGTTTTATCTGTAACTTTGCTGCACTGTTATGTTTCAGAGTGGAAATAGCTTTCAGTTTTTCTGCTTCAAATTGTGGCCCAGCAGATCCACAAACTGATTCTCACCTGAACCTGCGTGTAGCGGGGCTGCTGCCCTGTGGCCTTCAGGCGAGCACCGTGGTCCAACCAGTGTGTAAGATCGCAGCCTAAAGCAATCAGAAAATGCAAGTTAAGGAGCAAATTCAGCCCTGCTGGGAGCCCGGTTGTTGTTGCAGGGGAGTCACGTAAGAACTGAACCTGTCCTGCTTTGTGCAGACCATGTGAAGAAGAGCTGGGTCTTGGTTCCTTGCACCCCACAGCCCCCACCACTAAGCTTTAGGTGCATAAGAGCTGCAAACCTAAATTTTCTATAGCACCTCATGAATTTGGTGGGATGTCCCTTTTCCAAGAGCCCCACTGAATGTGGGTGTTCACTTTTGAAGGCTATTATTTCCTGAGGTGCAGGGGGAAAAGGGGCCATTTTCAAGCGGTTTTAGCTGGGCACTGTAGGAATGAAGATCCTGTGTCTCACTATTGCTTCTGATTATTTAGGCTGTAAGATCTGATCCTTCCCAATACAGCTTTTAGTAGCTTCCCTCTGAAGTTAAGTGAAGCAAAATACTGGATATGGGATCCTATTTCCAACCTCAAGTATATGCTGAGACTGAAGGTTACATAGCCAACTGCATTTTGTTTTCTAGTTATGGCATCTTATTATTACTAGTATTTGTGCCTTGCTCACTGAAATTTTCTCCATGCTACAAAGATGCTTTTCAGATTCTGGCTGACAAGGGAACACAACTTTTATACAAGTGGCCTTTAGTGCTCTTTATAATATTATTTATTGTAATTTTTAAACTGTATGTGTAATTTCTATTCTGGCACTGTCCAATATTTGAACAACTTTAATATGTTTATTTCAATATATTATGCAAACAATACTTCTTAACTGATTTTTTTTATGTTCTGTCTTTAAAAACTGCACCACTTATTAATAAATAGAAATTTCAATTATGATGTGGAGGAATTTATTTTCATTTAAATTATGATATCTTCACACATATTCAAAGAACAGAGTGTCAAATGTACCCCCAGAAAAGGCATTGGCAAAGATCTTTTTGATTTCATGTATGCGGGACTGAGCTCATAGATACAAGTAGGCTTTATCTGGCTTCTGCAGCTAGTCTTGTTCCAATATAACACAGTACATACTATTATTTGTGACTCTCTTTGATTTAGTTGCCATGTAAGTTCCATGCCTTTGATCATCTATGTGTGGGAAAATGCAAACTAGGGGAGAATTCATTCATATTAGAGACAATAACATGCTAAATAATGATGGAGTAGCACACAAAGTATGTACAGAACATAGTAATGGCCCAAGCCAGCCTGCTCTGAGTAGACTCTGCAGGGAATTCAACAGCAGCCAAGAAGGCCAAGAGCATCCTGGCCTGTATCAGCAATAGTGTGGCAGCAGGGCCAGGGCTGTGTTCATCCCTGCCCTGTAATGGGCACTGGTGAGGTTGTGTCTCAAATCCTGTGTTCAGATCTGGGACCCTTACTATAAGAAAGGCATTGATGTGCTGGAGCAGGGCCAGAGAAGGGCAATGGAGCTGGTGCAGGGCCTGGAGCACAAGTGTGTGATGGGGAATGGCTTAGGGACCTGGGGTGTTTAGCCTGGAGAAGAGAAGGCTCAGGGAGGACCTTATTGCTCCCTACAGCTGCCTGACAGGAGGATGGAGAGAGGAGATGGCTGGTCTCTTCTCCCAAGTAACAAGCTATCAGACAAGAGGAAACAGCCTCAAGCTGCAGCAGGGGAGGTTTAGGTTGGAGATTAGGAACAATTTCTTCCCCCGAACAGTTGTCAAGCATTGGAACAGGCTGCCCAGGGCAGTGGTGGAATCATCGTCCCTGGAGGTATTTAAAAGGCATCTAGATGCAGTGCACAGGGACACGATTTAGTGGTGGACTCGGTAGCACTAAGTTAACAGTTGGACTTGATGACCGAAAGTGTCTTTTCCAATCTAAACTATTCTGTGATTCTATGATTCTATCTATAATTCTCCTTTTAAGAGATGAAATTTGTTTTATTCTTCTGAAAAAATCGACCAAGAAATGTTATTAAATTTAGTGACTCATGCTTGATAAAATTTGTGCAAAAAAAAGTAGGATATTGCTAACATCTGAAATGAAATTTAGATGAAAAGAAACTTTATGGAGCTAGCACATTTCTTAATCAAATGTCCTAAATGTCTTGCAAAATCGTAAAGGCAGAGGACTAAGGGGGAAGTTTTGAATTGCAATCAGGTTTTTTCAGGGAAAAAAAAATGTAATTTGCACAGTTGATACTTTTCTAAACAAAGTTTAAGAAGCAGCTGTTCACAGGTGCTTTCATGGAAGTGCTTACCCTGGTGGAATAAAGTGTAACTAAAGATTAAATTTAAATGTTCTGAAGCAAGCTTTGATTAAGTTTTCTTGTTTGTTTTTTAACAACAGTGCTTCATTCTCTATTGCACATTAGCACCTGATGAGGCAGGCACAGCTGGGTGGGTACATGTTTTCCTACTAGGCATGTAGGACAGGTAGGTTTGCAAGATGCTTTAGGTGCAACAGTGTTCCGTGTGCCGCAGCTCACCTTTGAGGGCCGAGATGGTTTATACCCCAGCCAGGATAGTGGGGTTTCATACCTGAGGGCTCTGCCAGACTGGGATGGAGCGAGTGGGAAGGGGTGCTGGTGCTGACTCTGGCTCAGATCACAAGAACATACAAGGCAGAGCCCTTGCAGTCACTCAGAGGTATTGCAATTGCTATGTAGAAGGGTGTGTTTAAAAGGTCTAAGAAAAGATATACAAGGAAGTAGTGGACCACTTCCACACTCTGTTCTCAGCCCACAGAGAGATAAAGCACCACTATTCGGACTGTGTTTTCTCCCTCCTTACCAGAACTTCATGCCATGCTGTCCTCTTTCTTACAGATAAAACATGGGCATTTGGCTTGAATGTATGTTTATTACAATTGCCTTAACAGCGACTTACCCTTTATAACTTTCAGCAAAGGAATGTATTTGCTCAGTAATGGTATGAATTATGTGCTTATACTGTGTTACTAAGATGCTAAAAGTGTCTTTCTTGTTCTGGATTTTGAGATGCTTATTATGGACTCAGCGCTTTCACACAAAGAGATACTGGAAAAAGAAGGCACGTAAAGACTATACTCCTGAGAAAGCTCCGAGCTCAGATTGATGCTCTGAGTGAGAACACAGCATTGTCTCCCGGGGTCAAAGTTGGGCCTGAACAATAAACCCCTCCCTGGTCACCTGAGCATCTCTCTGCAGCTGAGGAAAGTTAAAATTACCGAATCCCAGGGTGAAAGGCAGCATGAGGTAAAACCTGCTGAAAGTCTAATTATCCCCATAGCCCAACTTCAAACGGCTGGAGCCCAGCCCAGCGCACACATTTTCCTGGCTATACCTGGGTTTGTCAGCTGTTACAGAGAGGACTTTCATCCCAGCCTTCCTGATGAGATATTGAGCAACTGGTAATTAAATCGGTAAAAGTAAGTCTTGTCAAAGAAAAGGTGTTTCCGTACTCCTCAAGCTGCAGCGTTTAGTCACGAGTCATGAGAATTTTCCTTTTATCACACCAGTAACTGCCATATAGAATTAGATAATTTTAGATGCAGTGACATCCCACTGGATCATGTTTTTTCATGAAATGCAGAGTGGAAGAAAAGGAAGGTAGGATAGTTCATGCGTGTGCATGTGTAAGCATCGTATTTACCAGCTATAACTCTTAAACATGGCTGCAGCTGCCTTCCAGCTTATTAAATTCTTAGTGAAGACAGAATTGTAGGACAAAGACACAGCCCTACCACATGCAAAACATGATCCCATAAACATCTTCTTTGTGGGAAAACAGGACCCTCCAAAATATATGACTGAAACCTGAAAACAGAAAAATCACTATCTTGTACCTGACACACTGGCAGGTTGCAGCGATTTAGCTGTTGCAGTAGGTTTCTTCATTCTTTGGGCAACATGACAGCTTTCTGCACCTTAACTGGTGGGACTGCAAGACTGGGACAATACAGTTAAATAAAGACAAATGACGGTGTTCAAGGCCAGGTTGGACAGAGCCTTGGGTGACATGGATTAATGGGAGGTGTCCCTGTCCATGGCAGGGGGGTGGAACTGGATGATCTTAAGGTCCTTTCCAACCCTAACTATTCTATGGTTCTATGACCTGATGACATACTAGTTACCCAGGCAATATCTCCAATAATAAATTAAGTAGTGCTGGGGACCCCAGCAATCCAGATGTCCAGAGCATTGGTAGGGCTATGACATAGGGCAATCCCAGAGTCCTCCTGAACAGCAACCCCAACCATTCCCAAGCTGGACCATTCCAAACAGACAGCTTGTATGCAGCCATCCTGTGCATCTCATCTTTATCCTCCCTTTCTAACAGAATATTTCTCTGTTGAGGTTTTGTGCAGGTTCCTAAAGCATTTTCTATTTCTTACACTGACTGTGGATCAATTTAGGTTTTCTTTTTGTAATTACTACAAGGTTTTGAATTAATTCACACAAAGAAGTGTTTGGTGGCTTAGGATAATGTTATTGAATGGATGATTATCTGCTTTTAACAGCATTGCATCTAAACTCACTGATTTTGGAGGAATCACTTCCAGTCCACTGACGTAAATGGGAGCAGAATTTCACCAACTACTTCCAACACTAAGATAATGTTGGATACTAAAAAACATCACTCAACATCATCGAAATTGCCTGATGTCATTGATGCGACCAGATCTCTCTTTCTTCCTCACCACAGTTTTCTAACTGCCATTTCGTTGCTTTTGATATTCTGCAGTTACAGTACACTTCAGATTTCTTCTCCATCCTCCCAACAATGTTTCTTGTTTAAATTGCTCCTTGAAGGATGGCTAAAGCTTTACCAAAAGGAGCTTATCCTGGCCTACTTCTCACCATCAAAGTGGCATTTGCCTAATAACAGTATGATATGCTGTCCCTTTAAAAGGGAAAAAAAAGAAAAATCCCTTCTTCTCAGTGTTTCAAGCCATCACTGCCAAAAGGAGCTCCCAATCCCCACCTGACCTGCCACAGAGCCTTTCCATGCGGGATTCAACAGGCACTTTGTATGCTTATGATTGTGTTACCTCTAGTTAGTCCTTCTCGGATTAAGATAACAGTTTTCACAGGATTTTAAAGCAAGATTATCAAGCTTGTCATCTCAGAGTCTTTCATAAAGTGTTTATTAGGACTTGGCAATAACCTCCAGTTTTATATAAGCTCTGAAGAAAATCATCTTTGTCAAGAGATACCAGGTAAATTGGAATTAACCATTCCAAACCTCAGTGGTTTCACATGTACTTGGAGGAAACCATCTCAGGTGTCTTATTAATGATTGATGGAAATGTAGAAAAAGAAATGTTGGGGTTTTCTTTTGTTAAACATGTATTGATTATATTTTATTAAATTCTTATGCAAATAAATATGAATTTAAAAGCAGTTGTAGCAATGTAATTGCTGTGTAATTGTAACATGGGCATATTTTCACATTAACGTGGAATATTTCCTTAGACCCGGTGTATCATGGTGTGTTTAAAATGAGAGATGACCTTTGGATGCTGGAACTGAATGAAGGTAAGGATATTAATACTCAAGGATTTTCCATTTGTATTTCTTTGCCCTTTTAGCTTCTGCTCTGTTTAGCATGAAGACATGGGTAAATTACTGGATATTTGATTCCTTGTCTGTACATGAAAACTAAAAACAATCCAAATTTCATGGTTACCTGCTACATGAAAATGAGTTCTAATGAAGTATAGCTAATAAACCCGTTGGTTTAAGATTGCTGTTAATCCACAGTAGCAAAGAGGTATTAATTAAGAGGTCTACATGAGTGTATAAAGGTAATCTGAACTGGATTTAAATCTCCAGTTCATTAGTTCTGGGAACTCTGGATCAACAGTTCAAAGTAAACTGAATTCTACTAATTTTATACAGCTTAAAATAAACAGAAGAGGATTATTGCATCCAGTAGAGATAAAGGAGAATTTGCAGCAAAAGGCTTGACTTTCTGCCTGTATCAGATGAATGTTTGGAAGGAACATTTTCACTGAGTCACTTTATTGGAATCTGTTGGTCTGCTCATGGATGTGTGGCACCTGTGCCTGTGGTGTCTGTGAATCTCAGAATGTCTGGAAATGGAAATGGTTAGTGATTTTGAGCTGGAGTACAATGAGGGTTTCATGTTTGCAATCTGGACGTGTATTTCAGTCATCACAGTAGTGTCACGTATGTTGGAAACAAGGAGATACAGTCACAAAGTAATAAAGACTTGTCCCTGATAGATAAAATCTAAGTATCAGATAACTAGAGGAATGAAAAGATGATTAGTGTTGTAAAAGTTAATATTATTAAAATCGACTTTGCTGAGAGATATTTCAGGCAGCAGTTCTAGGAATGTCATAGATGGCCTTGGAATTTAACTGGACAGCGTAAATATTCAGAGAGTTAATGCTGGGAAAAGTGTTTGGAAACAGTTAACACCTACTGCTTCAAATTTACATCAGCTTTTATCAATTGAGGAGGAAGGGCTGTCTCTTAAGCAATGTTCTTAGTGTTGACATTTCTCTGCAATTTCTCTTTAAGCATCTTGTACTGGGCAGGGGACACCACAATGGTAAATCTGCTTCCATGAATGGAAGGTTTTCCATCATTTTATACCAACTTTATTTAATATTTCTCTGTTAGAACAAGATTTGGGCTGTTATGATCCATTCTTCCAGATTATGTTTGCATGTTGTCTTAATTGCTAGACTGTAGTGTGTAGTCACACCTCGATTAAATGTGGGTGTTATGGCCAAGCTAATGCCTGCTCCAAATTCCTGCTGCAAATCAGCATTGTAAGAGGAGAAAATTGCGTGTGTTGGTTAACATGGAGGAGCAGCTCAGTGGGGAGGACAGCAGGGAGCTGCAAATCCAGGTGAGCAGGAACGTCTCTCAATGTGCATGGGATGCATACAAGCACAACTTCGTATCTCAGTCTATTTTGTTTCTACTTTTACAGCTCTTATTTTCTTCTCCTCTCTCGCTCCTAAGATGCTTTGGTAAGATAGTTCCTTCCTATGTCAATCTTCTTGCCATTTCTCTGTCTCTAGGCATGTACTCTAACTGCTTCTCTAGCCTGCTCGTTCTCTATCAGTTATTTATTTCCCTGTCCCACCACCATGAACAACTCTAGCCAGTTCAAGTAAATAAGTAATGAAGTTAGATCCCTGATAGGAAATTATCTACTACCTATCAACCCTTTTACTTATGAACCAGCTCTATAACACCACACAGAGATGGCCTTGCGGGGGTGTCAGGCGCTGTGATCCTTGTGGTAGCAATACATTTATGGTCTGCAGTCTAGTTGTTGGTCAGATCCCAAATATCGATATTAGAAGAGCCAAGTTTAGGATTTTTGATGCTATTCTGGTCCATGGGACACTGGACTCTGTCCATGCACTATCAGTCCAGATCATGGAAAGTGGCAGAATATGAAGTCCGTGGAGAAAGATTTCGCCAAGGCTTTCTTTGTTCCTCCGCCCTTTCTTCTGCACATGCTGTGCAGAAACAGTGGGTGAGTATAGGCTTGGAGTCGAGTAGAAAAGATTAGGCAGATGGACTGAATAGATAGGATGAACTGCCTAAAAAGCTTCTCGGAGCTTTGTTTGAATTAGCAGAGCTAGCACTTAAACACTTTTGACTCATCTGACAAGCAAGCACAGACATTTCAAACACAGAAATGTTTGGTATCATTTCATCTTCTTCAAGGAAGAGTGTGTTCAGAGGCACTAAGTACAAATTAGCTATTTTCAGAATGTGTTCGTTCTCTAGTGAATTCACTGTGAGAATGAATTTAAACATTATGATAATAGTTTGTTAATCAAACAGTATTATCTTGTAGATAATGATTTGCTGCATACTTGCGAGATGAGTTACTCTAAGAGATAGGGGAAAAAATTGCCTTTTTTTTTGCTAACTTTCGTATGCTGCCTCGTTTTCTGACAACTACAGAACTATTTGGCATGTTCTGACATTACAAAAACAAGGGGGAGCATGTTAGGAACCTAAGATTTTCCTTCTCTTTTTCTAACCACCTCTAATTAATCCTTTGAAATCTGTAAAGCAGATCATTGTCTGGAAGGCACAGCATGGTTAATCCCTCCCAAGAACCTAGCCAAGGCAGCACAGGACACAACTTGATGACAACAATTAAGTACAGAAATACAAGACTAGGGATGACCAGGCAAGGAAAATTTCTGAAAATAAAAGCAGTTAATACCTGGTCTGAAATGGAACATGAGTAAATTTTATCATCTTTCAACAGAAAGGGTTTAGGCACCTGATGTGTCAGTATCCCTTGGGCTCAGGTCATGCTGCCAGAGAAGAGGATTGTGGAGATGACTTTACCAAGCCCCACTAAAGCCACAGTTACGTAGAATCATAGAATCATAGAATAGTTTGGGTTGGAAAGGACCTTAAGATCATCCAGTTCCAACCCCCCTTCCACGGGCAGGGACACCTCACACTAAACCATGTCACCCAAGTCTTTGTCCAACCTGGCCTTGAACACTGCCAGGGATGGAGCATTCACAGCTTCTCTGGGCAACCCATTCCAGTGCCTCACCACCCTCACAGTAAAGAACTTCTTTCTTATATCTAACCTGAAATTCCTCTGTTTAAGTTTGAACCCATCACCCCTTGTCCTATCACTACAGCCCCTGATGAAGAGTCTCTCTCCAGCGTTCTTGTAGACCCTGACATAGGACTCAAAAAATCAAGAGTCACTAAATTCATGACACAAACACAGACAGAGAAAATGCTGATTGTGTGATTTCTGATTCTTTGCCATTTATATCACGTGTTTTCTCTTCATCTCAGAGACCTAATAATTCTCTCATGGTCACATCATTCTGGGACAACATTTGGACACAATACTGCAAACTTTAACACCACTAAAAGAGTATTTCTTTTTCCTAGAGCATCCAAACCTGCTGGAAGTCAGAGTCCAGAATGCAGTGGTTCTGCTGGCATGTGGCAGTGAAGATGAGCCTGGGATTTCTGTGTCTCCTTCTGGTTTTCAACACAGGTAAGGATGATGATGGTTTGGTGCTCCTAGGGTGTCTCTTTCCCAATTGCTCCCACAGTCCCATTTCCACATCTGTGGCAGGTTTGGTTCTTTCACCCTGCACAAGCAAGGCTGATGGGCTGGATCCCCAGGGCTGGTGCCATTCAGCAGGGCAGACCAGATGAAGGCAAAGGTCTACTTTTGTATCCCATGCCATGAATCTGGAGTCAGAAAGGTGTGTATGGAAAGAGACAGAGGATTAGAAGAGCTCCTACCGCCTATGTTGGTAGTCCAAATTTAGGTCATACAAAATTAGAGATGTTAATACAGCTGATGAGTACTGCACGAGGAGTCAGGATTCACAGGCCTTGTCTATCTATAGGGTATTTTTCATTCATATATATATATATATATATAAGGAGAGAAGATGAAAGAGATAGATATCCTGGGATTGTCTGCTGTACAAGGAATAGATTTTTGTACGAATAAGGGCAAGCACCCAGGTTTCACCATTCTGAGTGCGAACAGCAAGACCATGCAGGCACACCTCCTCTTTCTTCTGCTGCTTGCAGCCCTACAGGTTTAGTCTTTCTGAAGAGGAAGCTGAACCCAGGTTTCATATTCCCTGGTGAGATCGCTGCCCATTAGGTTTTAACGCAGAGAGAAGCATCACCACAGCTGAGGTGGGACCTCCTCACCACCAGATCCCAGGAGAGGACTTTTCCTGGGGAGCTTGATGGATTGAGAAGCTGAACCTCCAGAGAGGGATGGGACTGTAGCATTTGCTATCACTGGCTCATGTGGAGAGCCTTCTGGATTATTCTTTGGAGGCACTCAGCTCTCCGCTGATGGAATAGGGATCCTAAGCACCAAAGTCGTGCACTTCAGCGTGTCCTGTGATACCTAAATCACTGCTCTGCATCTTTCATTTGTTGGGCACAGAGTGAATCAGGAAGCCAGTCCAACATCCTGAACCCAGCTCCAGTTCATTCCTCCTGCAACAGAACTCTGGAGAAGAGTACTCAGTTGAATGACTGCTTTGAATAACAAACATGCATCTAGCCTGTGGAGACTTGTTTTGAGTTGGCCTTATTACACTATATTCCTTGCAGTTAATGTTGGGTCCAAGCCTACTGCAGGTCTTTACAACAGTTTGATAATACTGTTTTCTTTGGATTCTTGAGCTAAGGGGGCAAACTCAGACATTTAATCTGTTTTCTTCCATTAGCTGTCAGCTAAAGCATCTGGCTGGTGCTTTAGGACATCCTTATTTTTAGGCATTTGATGGGCTGCTGTTGTGGATACTCAGTGGCCTGCTTTGCAGTGCTGATATCCATCAGTTTCTGAGCTATAACTAATGAGAGTAGCAAAGTAACCCAGGCAAAAGGCTCAAAGTGGAAAACGGTTTCTCAGCCTCTTTCTTCACTTCACAGCTTCCTGCATAAGAAGAGAAAACAAGAAAGAGAAGCAAGTGGCAGTGCTGGCTACCGCAGGTAACAAGCAGCACAACAGGAGGCCCTGTGTGTGCGTGCTAACGGGAGTGGAGGTATTGTGCTGGGCATGGAGGTGTCAGCAGATGGGCTGCTCTCCATGAGCCCAAATCCACCACTGCTGCAAAAGCTCCTCACCCAACCCAGGCCTTACCCAGATCCTCGGCCACTTTAACCTCTGTCTTTCCAGAAACCTAAAATGAAGTTTTCTCTTTTTCCTTTCTCTCCTTCCCAGCTCTTAATACCCTTTTGTTATCCTTTTCTTCTCTTCTACACTGCGGACAAGCCCTGCTTCCAGCTCTGGGGTGCAGCTTTGTTTTGAATTGGCTAAAAATAATACTGAAGTCATCGGAAAATCGTATTTACCCCCAGATTCGATTTTGTTCTCATCTCAGCTTTCTATGCTTCTTCTCCCATCCTGCTCCTTTTTCTGTCTTTCTGTCACTCACTCACAGACCTCTGCATGCCGTTGTGGGAGCGAAGCAAAAGCACATCTTTGGAAATCTCAACTTGGGAAAAACAAATAAGCAACGGCTACAGAAATCACTTGAAAAGAGAAGTGTGATTCAGCTGCAGTCCATTTATTCTGTAGTGGCGTTATAGCCATCAAGGTGGCTAAAAAAAGAATCAGATCTATGTTTTCATCCCAGTTCCACATAGCACTGGGGAAGGGGGGACCTTTCCTGGGCACTTTCTCCTCCTTACTGCTCTTTTGGCAGCAAATACCGATTGCCTGGCACGAAAAGGGACCCAAACACCAGGACTGGCTCTGCTCCCTGCCAGCCCCTCAAGGGCATGCTCAAGGGAAGAGGTGACCAAGAGCCCTGCCTCAGTGTTGGCCTGCACTTGCACTGCCGGCTTGACCTTTCTACTTCCCAGGCTCCTCTTTGCACTCCTGACATCTTTATTTCCTCATTATTTTATTATTTTTGAGTACATTACAATATTTAATCTGCTCATTCTTTCCATTTCCCATTCTGGAAGATGTTTTTCCATACATAAACGGGGACAAATGGCCTTTTCCTTGTGCCTTCATACAGCCAGCTGCTCAGAGAGCCCTTCTTTTTCAGAGCTGCCTGCGAAGTCCGTGGATCTGGCTGCTGTTAACCTGACAGAGCTGGTGAATGGAATGCTAAACACGGTGCTCAGAGGTAATGGGACAAGGCTGGGCAGGTCACACAGGCTGTCAGCCTAGTGGTGAATGAGATAATGGGTATTAGCAGAAGCCATAAATGCATGCTGTCTGCCTCCAGAATTGATTCCAGGAACATGTTACTCTTGCACATTTATAATGCAGTTTGTTATCTGACATAAAGAATTTAGAAAGTAGTGTGTGTTTCTATATAGACACGACATAGTTACTTATGGGATGCCTTTGGAAAGTACTTTATAATCCAGTGTAGGTTTGAATTAAAAAAAAACCCAAATAACAAATAAATAATGCAAGTGAGCCTTCCCTCAGTGGAAATGAGGAAGAACTGAATCTCAGGCAGCTGTATCTGCACCTCAGAAGTCTTTCAGAAATTAAACCATAGAATGGTTGGGGTTGGAAAGGACCTTAAAGCTCATCCAGTTCCAACCCCTCTGCCATGGCAGGGACACCTTCTACTACAGCAGGTTGCTCCAAGCCCCGTCCAACCTGGCCTTGAACACTGACAGGGATGGGGCAGCCACAGCTTCTCTGGGCACCCTGTGCCAGCGCCTCAGCACCTTCACAGGGAAGAACTTCTTCCTAATGTCTAATCTAAATCTCCCCTCTTTCAGTTTAAAGCCATTGCCCCTTGTCCTGTCCCTACATGTCCTTGTAAAAAGCCCCTCTACAGCTTTCTCCCATTACCCCTTTAGGCACTGGAAGCTGCTTTAAGGTCTCCCCAGAGCCTTCTCTTCTCCAGGTTGAACAACCCCAGCTCCCTCAGCCTGTCTCCTAAATGAGCTGAGTCAAAACATGCTGTTCTCATAATTGGTTTCAACCACTAATAGCATGAGTATGTGTTTCCACAGGTACCAAAAAGCTCTTCTCTTTGCTGAGCATCACGTCTTACAGCTCATTTGCCTTCCACAAAGTATCAGTCACCATTTATAACAGTGAGTGCCTTGGCTCTTTGCGCAGGAGCATTTTCTCTCACACAGCCCCTATGCCAAGATACTGATTTTTCTCTGTCTCTCCCTACAGTTTCCAATGTGAAAAATGTTGACCCTGGCAAGTTCCCTATGCGTTACTGCTACTGTTTGAACAATGTGACAAATGACTTGACAGGTGGGTACACAGGAGACACTGGCAATTGCATGTACTTAAGATTAATTATTTCCTTTGGAGCTGCACGCTGTAGCCTGAATCCTTCAGACTTCATTCATATGAGTATCATCACCTTATTGAAGTACAAGCCATAACTCATGACAAGAGGCTGCTCCGAACCTTTAGGGAGGCTCACTGAACTCAGTCTCAGAGGGCTGCATCCAGCCAGCTAGACTGGAATGGAGCCATCAGTTAAATGACTGGTGTGGTTTACCCAGCTGAAAGACCTCCCTTTCCTCTTCAGAATACAAAGAGCAGTGCGGGAGACACTACACAGCCACTTTAGGTCTACTGAGATGACCCACATGAGATGAACAACTGTTACTCTGCACCAATAGTCTCCAATAACTTCAGCTAGCCTTAGAGTGAAAAGCAAGGATTAACATGTAATAGGGCTGTTTAATGGACTGCAAAATGCTGTTGGGCAAATCATCATTCACACCCCTGATCTCACCATATTTAACGTTCCAAGATGGATCTGAGTGCTTGGATTCTATGGCTGGCTAATGTAAGATATCAAAAGTAGCTCAGCAGCTAGTGACCAGAACCTGGAGTCTCTAAGCTTCATGTGGTGACCACACATTGGCCTCAATGGCTCTCATGGCTTTTTCTGGACCCACACATCTCACAAGACTTATTCCATAATGACCCTGTCTTCCTTGGAGGATAGTGGAGAAACTTTAAACTTTCTGTGCTAAATCCAGAACATTTTGGTGATGACAGCATCCTTTCAGGCAGAAAGAATTCAGGAACCAACATAGGCCTCACGTCTGTCACCTCCTAAGTGAGAACTGTTACTGCTAGAACCTGTTATGAAAAAGTCATAACACCATATCACCGCTACCCGCTTTTTTGAGCTGACAACAACATCATCAGTATGTCTGAAGTAAACCTCAGAGGAGACAAGCAGATAGCTCCTGGATGGTCCTACATGGCAGATAGGTAGGCAGTTGGTGCAGGCAGAGCTTACAGGCTTTGGATCTCCTTCTGATGCTAGTTTGGATATTGTCTTTCATATATATTTCTGCAGAGTATTACAGTGGCTTCTTAAGTCCTCTGCCATTCAGCAGAAACATCTAGAAGTTAAAGTATTTGAACCATTATTATCATGTACAAGCTTATATCAAAAATATGATCACATATAAAAGTGATTTTTTGACTTCACATAAATGATAGAATGTGTGTTTTCAATCATAAACTTTCTCTGTTTTTTTTTGTCCAGATTTCACAGCTTTACTTGTTGATATTACTGGAAACTCCACCAGTTATCTCACAGAAATATTCAAATCCACTTCTATTCTCTCAGGTTTGCATTTCCTTTTAACATTTGTCATTGCCTTATTTCTCTGATTTACTCCTGGCATGGAAACAAGCATAGAAAAGTGTATAAAAGCCCATTGCTCTAATTCAGCAGCATTTTTCATGCAAAGCAAGACTTGTAAACAAGTCTCCTTAAAGGAACAAGATGCATATATAATGTGGATATATATAACGTAGAGACATGAGTGTCTCTATTAGCAACTATGTTTAGTTTGAAAGTTTGGGTGGTTACTATTTAATACTGGTATTTGGGGAATTGTGATTCCTAAAGAAGAATTATGGGCTATATTATCATAAGAAATTCATTTCCCATGTAAAGACACTTGTAATTTACAATTTTAATTACATAGAAAAGTTTCCCATGGAAATATTTGCATTTGGATTTGATGCTGGTTCAAGGTTTTTACCAAAAATCAGGTCAGAAGAAAATTATTTGTCCAGCTGCAGTAGCCACGTATCATTTTGTGTTTGTGTTTTCAACTGTTCAAGCTAGTATCATATAAAGAAAACTGGCAGCACTGGCCTGGTTTACATTTTTCTGCCTTTCAGTGCGTCAGAGCAATGATTCAGATTGTATCTACATCTGTGTGATGACAGGGCAGACAGGTAAAACTATTCCACCCCAAAATATTGCCCTACTTATTCTCAGCGATGGTTTACATTTAGAAAGAAACATTTCTTGATATTTGTAATCATTTCTGTTTGCAGGGAGAAATCTGTCTGACTTTTGGGAAGTGCTGGAGAAATCCCCTGTTATTAATTATACATTTTCCAGTAACACATCTTCTGACCTGGGTAAGTAAATCCTGGGGAGTAAAAGGAAATAGCAACAACAATGAAAACCATGGCCAACAATGAAAAACTTGCAATGAATACCCTACCTTCATAATGTAAAAATATTATTTCATATTATTATCATTACTTATATATGTACACATTATTTTAGCTTTATCATTAAAATAGAATAATATTTTATATTATTGGATGTTTAATTTTAGAATTATAAATGAAGTTCACAAACTTATAAATCATTGGCTACAAGGCCTTTTAGTGGAGGAACTAACAAAACCTCCTGAGATGAGAGCTTTAACAGAATTCAGCACTAGGTTGGAGAGGCTCCCAGTTAACCTAAATGACATCTTCCTTAGCTCTCAGCACAAATAACCTGATACCTTCACATGAGTTACCTTCAGAAATGAGTTGGGTGTATTCAAACTGTGCTGCGATGATCCTCCACCCAAAGCTGCATTGCTAGGTTGAGCTGCCCTTCAAGTGATCACATCTCATTGCTGCCCATGACTATTTCTCATTTTCGATGCCTGATTAAAGCAAGAAGACAGCTAGTGAAATCAGGGGCCAGTTTACCTGTGCTGAAAGCTGTAGAATGCTTCTCTCCAGTTCAAAGAATATCACTTTGCCAAAGATTAATTAAAGAAGACAACTGTTGTTTCTATTCTACCAGAACCTGAATTGTTCCCTTTTTATCACACAACATGCAAGGGATGGTGAGTGTTCTAACCCTCTCTTCTCACACCTCAAAGATGCAGACTCGATGTTTTCAAGTGTCATGAATTTACAGGAAGACCCAAAGAAAACAGTGGATCCATCAGCAGAACGTGTGTGGACATTTAAAAGTGAGCAAATATTGTCAGACCTAAATTTATATTCTCCTTGATTAACATCTTGACAAGTGATCATGTATGTTTGCTACTCAGTGCTGTGATGTTGAACTACAGTTACAGGGTAAAATAGAAGCTTGTCCAAAGCAGCAGTAGATCAGGTCAGTGATGCATTGAATAGCTGGAGGATAGAAAACTATTGTAAAAAAGACATTTTATTAGAAAAAGTTTTCTAACAAGGTAGAGAAGTAAGAAAAAATGGTTGTTGGTTTTAAACAACAACAACAAAAAAGACAGATTAAACGGCTTCCTCTCCTTTTTTATTATCTTTTTTCCTCTGTTTTTCTCCGTCTTTGTCTTTATATGACTTTCAGTTGTGAGTACCTGAGCATTTCATAAACTTCAGTGCACTTATCTTCGCCACAGGGCTACAAGGCATGTGTTAGTCTGCCTCATTGTGAAAGCCATAAAGAAGGCTTCACACTTGCCTGCATGTGGTAGAAGCCAAGAGAAATTTAGACCTTGATTTCATGTTTCCTCATCACTTCAGCTACATCCCTCTACAACAAAATTATTACATTTTCTCTAGTCAGACTGCTGTCTTTTTATAAGCTTTTATATTTGCTTATCAGCATACCAACCTTTGCAATCTCTTCTAACCCAAGTGCCATTCCTGCCACACAGTGTCATCACTTCTCAACTTCCAGTATCTGTCCTCTAATGCCTGCCTTCTCACCTCCACCTAAACAAGAGCTTTCAGCTCATTCCTTTGTAGTGAAGGCCTTCAGGAAATAAAAAATAATTTATGAGAAGGAAAAAACCTTGAATTTGCAGGAATATTTCAGTTCCTTCTTTTGTTATTTGCATATTGTTACCCAGTGTGTTATGCTCACTGCTAGCATGGGGCAGCAGCATGCAGTACATAGCTGGTGCCCTCCCTCCACCTCTCCTGCTTCTGCAGCTACCAGGATCCCTCTTGCCCAGAAAGGGGAGGAAATCACCACCACGAGGTCCCCACCATGGCCAAAGACGGTTGGAGTGAAAGAACTGTGGTTTCCACCACTACATGTGGACGCTTCCGGACCACTCGGCACAGCTGGACCCCATTTGACTGCAGGGGGGAGCTCAACCCCATCACCAGCCCTGCAGCCCAGTGAGTACAATGAGGAGGACTGAAACTAACTACCTGCTAGTGCTGGGTTTGGCCAAAAGCTAAACCCACAGCATTAGCATTCTGTTTAGGGAGACCCATTCTGGGTCACTAGTGAGTCAATGTGTTTGTCGCGCAAGTGCTAAAATCAATTATTGGGTCCATCTCATAGTTCCTTATTCTTTTGGGGAAAACTAAGTCTTGCTCCTCATGGATATTTCTGCCATCCAGGTCTTCCCTCACATTTTGCTCCAAACTTGGTGAGCAGAGCTGTGGAAAAGCAATATGGGGCTGCTTCTCTTGGTCTCCACTTACACACTTTCTTTAAATCCTACCTTTCCCTAGCCCATGAACTTTTCAAGATCTGGTGAAGTACAGCTTTTGTCCTTCCTTTTTCATCTTGACACTTTTATGTTCCACTAGAAGCGCTGGGTGAGGGAGCAATACTTCTCAGGAGACAGCTAAATAACAAATATTCTGAATGACATGAAGCACATGTCTTTCTGTTCCCACAGGTGACATGGATGCATTTTGGATGCAGACAGTGTCTCCTCAAGAAACCAGCAAAATCATACAAACAGAGCCAGGTGAGACTGATCTGGGATAATAACAAAGCATGTCAGATGGAACACTTATGGAATAGAAAATAGCATTTATAGGAATAGGTGACTGTGGATGTATTTATACATCAGTGTCTATGTAAGTGTTTATTAGTGGTCTGTGGCTTCAGAGGGGATTTTTCCTTCTTTATTTTTCAAAGATGTCAAGGCAAGTTCTATTCTTTTCTCTCCCTCAGATTTGTCTTCTGCACTGCTGTCTGTGCCACCCTACAGGCCTGGTGTGAGCCTGAAGCTTTACTCAGCTACCAGTAAGTAACCGTACCCATTCAGCAAAAATGGTAGTATGTTCGAAACTCCATCAATATATAGGTTTTTCCACACAGAAACAACATACACATTTCATTTACATGACTTCTTATTTATGTAAACCACCCAGAATGTCTAAGGGACTGCTTCCGTATTTGTTTGTGAATCATACACAATCACACATTCAACATACAAATTATACCGAGGTGATGAAATTAACATATGTACCCCATGTGTCAATTTTAACATGGGTTGGAGAACCTTAAAATTGATTCATTCTGAAAGAAAGTATCATGCTTTAAATCTTCCTATTGGTACAAACAAAATTATGAAGTCAATCGATGCCACATGGAATCTACAGACTTGCCCTCAATTTAGAATATTGCAAACTTCCTCTTGAGCTAAAGACGGATCTTCATCCCCTAGATTTTCAGGAAGGCTCGGTTCTTCCTTTAGATAACACCAATAAGGAGTTAGAAACTAAGAGTTAATATAAGATGTTGTGCCACTCCACTTACAAGCATCATATACTCATGTTGGCAATCAAATGATATTTACAGATAAGTGCTCAGTAAGAAGCTTTGAAAAACTAGACCTAATTCAATGCCAGAGGAGCGTCTGAACTCTGGAGAAATCCAGCACCTACTTTGGATGCTGAGCATGTGTGTGTGTGTCTGAGTCCAGGCTACCTACATCCAAATTCACAAAGTAGGAGCAGCACTCAGGAGCACAACAGGAATAAATCTCAGCCACACATCTCAGTCCTCAGGAACAGAACACAACTATTGCAGCTCTAGGATCCAGCATCATGGACACCTAAAAACTAGGTAAAATCCACCCCATCATACAGACATCTTTAGTACCCTTGTGATCCTTCCACCCCAGTCCGGTGTTCTCACCCTCAGTGGTCACACTGGAAACTCAACCACTTGGCCATCTGAACAGTAAGCAAAACACAGCTGAAGCTGCATGTATATTAATTACACTTCCTGATTATATGCTCCCACTAACGTTGTAGTTGAGGAAGTCAATTTGAGGGATACATTGGTGTGTATGTTCTAGTATTGATAGCAATATGGAAAGTACATCAGTGTTACTATGATCTTATACTAGAGGAAAAATCCACACTGGCTGCCCTGGGATACAGATAAAATCTGTGTGCCTGTATTCCAGACCTGCACTGTGATTGTCTGATTTTGTGCAGCAAAATAGGAAGAGAAATTTGGCAGCTACCGCTCATGGTGGCGTGAAAACTCCTATAGTACAATTCCAAGGTCTCCTGGTATTATGATTGTGTCTCACCACTTTGGATGTTTAGAGCTGAGATGGAGCTAAGAGGTCATGGGATGTTATGGGAAAAGGCTGTTCTTGATCCCTGCACTGAAGTTCACTCTGCTGCTATCACAATTGAGTGGGAACGTGAGTCTTGCTGGTAGTGAGGACTGCCAAAGGGAACTTTGGATATCTGCCCCTCAACTGCTTGTGTTTCCATATGGTGACTGTCTAAGGGAAGCATAGTAGTGCAAAGTTAATATATGGGACAAAATCGTAGGGGTCTCCATTTAGATTTGATACCTGAGGAGTCTTTAGAACCAGTTTAGTTCTTTAGAACTAAAATGCCAGTCAACTAATACTTGTTCAAAGCTTTGTTTGGACATTTAGGAAATACAACAAAAATAAGTTAATCATAAGAAGAACAAATGAAAGCCTGAAAATTCTGAAAGATGGTAAGCGAGGAGAACAAAGACAAATGCTGATTAAATGGTTTGTGATGGATTAGTAGGAAACATGGAAAACAAACTGCACCGTTCTGGTATTGTCAAAGGGAAATGTGGGGGTTTGATAAGGATTCCTAATAAATATGACTAAGAGAAAACTGCTGCTGATATTTTGCTTGTCAAAACAGAAGAGGTAAAGTGAAACCGTGAGCCTCAGCAGCAGGTTTTCATATGAAGGGAAACTCTGCAGCCTGGTGGTTCTTCCCCACTATTTGAAAAGCATTTGGAAAGTGTTTGAGAGCGTCCAGCTCTGTGGGGCATTCATTGTCAAAAGTAAATAATGTTATCAGAAGTAAAAATGCTGACCATGGAAATCAAGGTGCGACAACAGCATCAAGTAATCACAGAAACACAAGTCCTGCAGAAAAGCAGTGTCAAGGAAGAGGGGGAAGAAACTATTGCCTGGGAGGGCTGAGAACTATGCAGTAAAAAACCTATCCACTGAGACATGTTTCCAAGGAGAAGACTCATAGGTGCTGAGCCAAGGAGCAGTTCTAGATGTAAGGGAGCTTTTGAACCATGTAGATAGGAAACCAAATATCCTTTTTCATCTTTCTCTCATTTTACTTCTGTTTAAAGAAGAGTTCAAAATACAAGTCCTCACCCCCATGACATACATTGGTTGTATAAACAAAATGAGTCAATGTCACATCACACAAATAGAGTTTGACTTCTTGAGACTTTTGATGGTGTGAAGAGAAGCATTTCAGCTGAACTAGGCCTTATTGGGAGACCTATCTTGATCTTACCTTGATGGGAACAGAAGAATACTCTATGGTAATTCTCATCACCAGAACTTCTGCACAAAACCCAAGTTCTCTGTATGTCCAGTGTGTGCACAGTCCAGTTTGTCCATGTGCCAATATCCGTCTGGTGGGCAACACTATAGAAGCTGTAAAAACATGGACTGGGAACCAGCCCCTTTTGAAACATGGATTTCAATAAGACCAAGGAATGGAGTCATTAATGCCTCCCCACTGGAAACCAGGATGGCAGAGTTTGTCTACCTGCATATATCAGTCATGCGTTTGAGGAAATAAATTGAACAGTGGGATCGTAAAGCAATGAAGGGCATCCACAGTACTCTGAAGTCTGAGACATTATCCCAAGAAGTCATTTCTTAAATCACAAAAGCTTATGTGAACTGATAAAATATGCAACTGTGCATATTGGAGCATGCAGGGAGGGATATTGTAGATCTGAATTATTCACAGTAGCCATATCCTTGCTTTTCACTGGCAGCAAAATTTAATCTCAGTGTCAGAGAGACGTGATACTGAGCTAATAATGGAAAAGTCTGTTTAGTGCAGCAAGTATTGGTCACTTATCTGCCTGTGACAGTAACGTGGTAATTTCAAATAGACAAGAGCGGAGCTCTGCACAGGGAGCTGTGGTTCCTCATTTTTTGGTCCCTTTAGGGTGACTCGATTTCTTAGGAAAGAAAATTCATAGAGAAGAAGATTCTGAAAGAAACTCCTACTTTTCATTATTTTTTTAAATTTCTATCCAAATCTGTAGGAAATTGTGAATTGAATTAAAAAAAAGAAATACATTTCACGGTAGAAATGAATTACAGAAGAGATAAAACATTTCTAGGAAGCACTGAAAATTTTCATTTCAACAATGATGCGAGCATACTATTCAATCCAAATAAAATTAAATATAACATAATTGACAAGGGTTTTCAGCGTTAAGGAAATACAGCATTATGTAAATGCAGCATTAATTTAAAATCAAGTGATTGTCAAAAATGAAAACCAAGGCAATTTAACTTGCAGCTTTTCTATTTGACTTCTCTTTCCCACATAGATGAGTCCAAATTGAAACTGCAGTTGTTCAATTTGCATTTAGTTAAAGGTGAATTTCTGCTGGAACACATAGCTTGCATGAAGTATTTAACACCTGTTAGGCAGGAGAGCAAGTACCCACTGCGGTGGAAACTGAGATTCATTGGAGGGTGGCTGTTAGCAAGTTTTAATTATTCACAGCAACTCTACATTACTTTTCATGGACAAATTTTATTAAAACCTCATTGCCTCACGCTCTGATGTGCAGTTTTTAGCACGAAGAGTGTTTATTAAAGCAAGAAATCATTCATTTTTAAGTGCCAAGGAGTGGGAAAAAATCAAGGTGTGTCAAATGCTATTCAGTGGACAAAGCCTAATCCTAATGACATTTATGAAACATTAACAGAAACGGGGCTCCCTCTTGCCCATCCTTGACTTCCTTATTATCCCTGATATTTGTGCAGTGCCTCTGACACACAACCAGCTTGCAGAGGGGCCCGTGAGTTTGGGAGCATCAAGTGTCTGCCCATTGTTCCAGGACTCCTCGGGCAAGTGCTGGCAGGAGAAAAACGGGATCATAGCGATCTGTTTCAGGTTGGCAGAGCCTTTATTTTCCTCCTGCCCACGAATGCCATTTTATATTAAACTTCTTGTCAGCACTAAAGAACTCAACCTTATTTCAACAGAACTTCATTAGTCCAAATTTAACCCCCGCAACCTCTCCTATCACATAACATAAGATGGCCCAAAGCTATAAAGTATGAGAGACATGTGAACCGCGAAATGCAATTACATTGACTAAAGGGATTATTCTCTGCAGGTAGGGCTCTTTATCTGCACATGGCCAAAGCCTGCTGGTAGTTATGCAAATGGCAAAGCCACATTGCAATCAACCTTCACCCTGCACATTCAGGATCTTCCACCCCAGTGGGTGTATATGACATCCACATGATTCAAATGTACCCTCTCACAGCCTGTTCTCTGTTATCTTCTCAGAGCACCAGCATGATGCTTGCAGATACGCCCCTTATATTTGGAGTGCTGGTTTAGGAGAGACATCCCTTTGGAAGGACTGCTATGTGCAGCGAACAGCACAATGTGTGTGCCTGCAGCTCCCCAGCATCAGATGTGATGCTTTGCAGGGCAAGTGGCTTTCACTGTAGTGACACAAAGCATGTCCTCACATGCAGCACCTCCTCCTCAGTTATTATATAATAATGGATTATTATTATAAAATTATAGAACAATATAATATATTCTATAATAATATAATATTGTTATTAAATATGCAAATGAGATGTGGTTGAAGACTTGTTTTAGCCATGCGCCGGCAGTCTTTTACCATATTGTAAATATTGTATTTCTTTTTTCTAGCAAGTCCTTTGATTCTGCCCTGTCATAATGGTCCTTAAGGTGTAAGATGATGTGTGACAGGCACTGCTTTGGAGAAGAAAAGACTGTCAAATGTTAGTTTTTTTCTCTTAATATGATGACAAAAAGACCTGAAAAGCTGAAAAGAGCTTCAAGTGTGCCTTACCTTTTCTTATTTTCCCCCTTCCTCCTTCTCAATTTCACCTTGCCTATTTTTTCTATAAACAGAAAGGGAGTCTAAAGAGAGATTGTATTTAGCACTGAAAAACCACATAGCAATTCAGGATTTCATTATAAGCTGCCATCACCTACTCTGTTGTATTGCTTTTCCTGCAGTCTGGCACAGCTGCATTTGTTGCTGGGATGAAATGTTTGGTGTTCAAATGTGTATCTCTTGCTGCTTATGGCAGAAGATTCAATGAACAGAGTAAACTAGATATTGCCATGGCTCAAGAGAGGGGAAGAGGGAGGCCATTGCCAGGTGCACCATTTCCCTGCATTTTTCTCAAGCTAAGGTAATATAATGGTAGTCACTTGATGGAAAATACACTGATTCAACAGCTGGCTCCTGGCAAACAAATAGTGAAATGGAGAAATTTCACCTGCCTTCCTCTCACTGCAGGAAAAGATTGACCTTTTCTTCTCTCGTTACTTGTCAGTTTTAATGAAACCTGTAGGAATGTATTTATCCAGAGAATCTTTACCTGTCCCTAAAAACTGGGCTGAAATGAGATTATTATTGAAGTCACTAGAAGCAAGAAGAGGAAAGCTGACAGAGAGAAAGCCATAACCTCTGCATAAATCACACTTATTTTGTTAATGAGGCTAAAACACCAAGTGATGGTGAGAGCGGTGAGAGTCTGTTTGTTTATTAGCTCAGTCTTATATAATCTAGGATTCAGATTTAGAGGGTGGGTGTAGGGAAGCATGCAGAGCTGGAAGTGAATTTTTCATTGAAGGAGCATATGCATAGGGAAACTACCAAAGGTAACAAGTGTACAGCGCTGTTCTTTGTCCTGCTGCTTTGCACTGTGGAAAACTGATGCTTCAGTGGCAACTGAATCTCAACCTAAACAGACAATAATAAATAAACTGCATCTTTAGAGTTGTTCCTTACATTTGTGATAAATAAAAGCAACGTGGTTTTAAGTAACTCACCCATAATGATAAATAATAATGAGTTGGACAGAAAATTTGGGCTTTCATTCAAGCAACTGCCCAGCTGTGTGTATCTGCCTCACCTATATTTGATGTTAAGACACCTATATGGACGTATTAACCTGCACGTTTCTCATAGCCCAGATAAGGCACTGTAAGACATTTAATGGGAGAAGCATTTGAACTAGTTCAGAGCTGTGTTTTTCCCTAGGGTGTTCACAGGCGATGCTCAAAGACTCCCGTGTGACCTCGCCTCCTGTCACTCTTCTAGTGCAGAAGATCAATCCCTGTGTGATGGAGCTGTGTAGGTTTTTCCAGCTGTGCCTCTGTGTTGGTCAGAGGAGATACTTCAGGAAGGAAGGCATGAGGTAAAGCCTGACACTAACTTTTTTCTTTCTCTCTGCTTAAAATACTCCAACAGGCTATTTTCAAATGACAGTTTTCAATCACTAATGTTTATGTCTGAGAATCTGTAGCTACTACCTGAAACCCAAATGACCAAGACCTGATCTAGCTTCCAGTATTCAAACTACATGAATAATACTCAGCTGATTTTTTCCACATATCTAATGGCGTTGTCAAGATCAAACTCTCTCTTTATTTCCATATTCAATATTAGCAGTATGATGTGCATACAGCTGTGCTCCTGAAAGATAACATCTCAACTACATCCTTAGGTACTGTGTTGAATACTATTCCTGGTTCTTGAAAAATGCAAATTATGTCTGTGCAAGAGTCAAAAGAGTTGCTTACTCCCAAAGTAAGTACATTTGCTCTTTATATCTCTCCATACTTTACTATGAAAATATAACAAAAGTTTTAGATATCCACAGAGCATTTGCCATCTTTCATCAAACAGCTCTTTTTACTGATAATGATTTTTTAAAGTATTAAAAAACTATTTAACCTTCATGTATGTTTTTAATATTTTCCTTGTAAAACCTCTCCTGATGAGAGTTTTTTTTTATGTCTTTCCAGCACTGAAACAAAAATGCCTTAAAAGCATCTGTACGTCGGTCTAGAGCACTGGGGAATTATCCTGTGTATTGGAAGATCGTTGGCAGTTTTAGTTGTCTCCTTAGTGTAAAAATGAGGATGAAACATGTTATTTGCAAATATTTATAACAAGGCAAGCTATTAACCATATGCTAACATAGAAATGTGTCTTCCATTAAGGCATTGCAAAATTAATGTGTAAAAAACAGATGTGTTTTATACAAATGATGCAACTGCAATAAAAGTATTGCAAGGCTTTTCAAAAATCGGGTTTTATAAAGGGTATTTATATGGTTGGGTAGTGAATGCAAGTAGTTCATTCGAGTTTTATTTACAATTAAGAGAATCACAATTAATGAATACAAGGTAATTTAAAAACAACCTGAAATACTGAACAGAAAAAGGATTTTGCCTGGTGTAGAACACATGCAGATTATCCACTATTCCAAATCAAGAGTCTCCCATTACTTCAGCGCCTCAAGTGCAGATTCACCAAGTAAATATTCACACCTCTTGTGACTTCACCCAGTGGTAAATCTGTGTGAATTCACCAAGATTCACCTCCTGCTTTATGTGCACATCTGGTGAACTAAAAGCAGCTCTAAAAAAGAACAACCAGACTGCACCACCCTATGTTTTTCGTACACTGAAGCAATATGATGCTGCTATTGACCAAAAATACATGATGAAGCTATTAATATTTCAAAGAAAATGCAGTTATTTGCACTACAGCTGGTGCACGTTGATGTTTCATTGAAGAAATATGTGTTCAAAGTAATATAAAGCCAAAAAGAAAGGTGGTGACATAACGAATGCTGCCTCCAGGGAGAGGGGTGATGCAGCATCCCTCCTTCAAAATACATTTCCCTGTTGTGCCCAATAACATGAGGGAAGCATTTCTGTCGTATCAAAGAGCAGGATAGGTTGGAGTAGCACCAAGTGCAGTTGATACTGAATGTTAGTCAGTGGACAAGAGGAATATCAATACAAAGAATATATGAATTGGGAATACTAACAGGGCCATGGTACTGCAGTGCTGTGGAGAGATGTAATTCTGCGGCACCTCTCCTCAACCAAGGCAGACCAGTTCTGCTGTGAGGAACTGAGTGAACTACATCTTTGTGTAACTGATTTGCCTTTAAATCTTACAAAACCACCTTAAAGCCAGAAAATGCAATTAAAGAATAAACCCACCCATATTATCTTATACATTTTTATCATTAAGTTTTTGGAGAACTCAGGCAGAAGGACATGGAAACAAGAACATAAGGGCAGAAAGCAACCATTAAAGTCAGTTTGACTTTGTATCAAAAAGCATTTTGGGGAAAGGCTCCCCTTTTTAAAGAGTGTTTTATTATTTGTTTAATAAGTTTAATCAGCTCTGAGTTGTAGCATTAGTCTCCACGTTAAAGGGCACTTCTGTGTTTAGAATAAATCAGTCTGTTTTCTCTTCATCAGTACAGGTCCTCGGACAGTGTTAGCCTGTGTAGTGCAATAGGTTGTACCTGAGCCATGCCTGGCACTGGGGGTAGGTCACAACCATCTCCACTCTAATGTCCTGGAAAGCCATGAGGTCTACTGCCCGAGCGTGCTCACGGGGACAGAATCGGAAGGATTCTGATGGTAATGGATATCTTGTGAAAGGAGCTGAGAAAGGATTAATGGTACCTGTCCTGAATGACAACCTTCTGGTCACAGTTGTGTCAGACTTACATTTGGCTTTCCCAGGGGAATAATGAAAATTAATGAGAAAAATTTCAAAATAAGAGAAGGAATGAAAAAACTCCATGAAAAAAGTGAACACAGTGGCTGCCCTCAGAAAACATATTTGTTTCCCATATTCCAGGGTTTTCAGTCCTGAAAATCCTCTATGCATGTCTGGCAGAAGTACAGAAATGATGGTGGCATATGGACAAACCAGTACCTCAGAGGACTCATGTTTATTATTATGCTCAGTCAAGCCCCCTATGATTTGTCAAGCTGAAAATGTTCTTCCAAGCAGTAAAAATACTCTTTGGGCAATCCCTGGATACTGCAAATGGAGACACCAAAACCCACATGAAAATGAATTTTTATATCATTAACACATAATTTCTGCCATGTTTCACTCTTCTGTAAATTTTCTTGGTAAGTCTGGACACAGAAATGCTATGACTGGACCCTGTCAACATGTCAGTACTGAACCAATAGAGCATCACTGAATCACAGAATGTTTGAGCTTGGAAGGCCCCTCAGGAGGTCATTTGGTCCACTCCCTCTGCCCAAGCAAGGCCACCTAAAGCCAGTTGCCCAGATGCCTAGTGATTGCAAACATCTGTGATTCCAAAGCCGTGTCCAGATGGCTTTGGAATATCTCCAAGGGAGGGGAGTGAGGGAGGCTCCACAAGCTATCTGGGCATCCTGTGTCAGTGGTTGGTCCCCCTCACAGTAAGAAGGCATTTCCTGATGTTCACAGTGAACCTCTTGTCATGTCACCGAGCACCCTCTCTTCACATATTCATATACATTGATTAGATCCCCCTGAGCCTTCTCTAGGTTGCAGAGTCTCAGCTCTCAACCTCTCCTCATAATGAGAGATGACAAGTGCTGCTTTCACACAGAAATTAGTCCCTTAATCATCATTGTGGCCCTGCCCTGGATTGTCTCAAGCTTGTCCATGTTTGTCTCATACTGAGGAGCCCAGACCTGGACACCTATACTGACAGTCACTGGCCTCCAACCAGACTTTGTGTTGCTGATCACTACCCTCTGGCCCCCTCTATTCAGCCAGTTTTCAACCCATGTTACCAGGCTCATTCAGCCCATATATCAACAGCTTCTCTAGGAGGATCTTAGCGGAGACAGTGTCAAAAGGCTTTCTGAAGGTCTTGGAGGACCCAAGCCTCCTGTCCATGTATGTATTTCTGCAATTTCCAGTTTGTGGACTTCTCACTTTTCCATGCTAAAACTCAGTGGACAGTTTGCCTTTGTTAATGGCATCTGTGAAGGGTTGTGGTGTCTGACCCTGGCCGAAAGCACATCTCTCTGATGAGGAGAAGCCTTCTCAAAGCTCATTGACTCAACCTTCCCCTGGATTTCACTCAGCTTTGGATCAGAGCCACTGTGGATAGATGAGGGATGACTTCTCAACCCTGAGGAATGCCAGTGTTTAAAGCTGTGTAAATTTTCACTCATCTTTCATCACTGAGCACTACCTCTTGCTAAGCTATTAAAGCCATATTCACATGCCCCAGAGATTTTGTGAGTGATTAATAACAATGAGATGATTGTTATTTAATTACAGCCAAGAGTATTAGGCAAGGTCATTATACGGTGAATGCACCTGCAGAACAGACTTCCCAGTATAGATCCTTTACGTGGCTGGAGCTACATCACTAAAATACACTGTGAGCATAATGACTCTAAGGAACCTTATGGAAGAATTAATTAATAAATGTTGAAGTGGTTTGATAAAGGAAGTGATCACATGGGTGCGGTATATATCCAAGTGGGTATAAATAACTTAGTACTGACTATGCTGAAATCCATTTGTCCTCCATCCAACTGCTTTCGAATAATATCCCTCAAGGTAAGCCTTTCTAGATGCACTCTATAACACAGGAATCAGGAAGGAAACAATGTAGAATAAGCTATTTGGGACTGGAGTTGTAGACTGAAGTATCGGTAAGAGATCTGGGATAGTAGACTATATAAACATGCAGAGCTGTTAGATTTATAATCTCACTTCCTAATGAAATAATACATTTTTTAATAGGAATTAATGTGATATTTGACAATAGGAGAGCAGATAATCAACAGTAGATAAATATCTGAAAACTGATAAATAAATATTAATTTATTTGGCTGTAAAAAAGTCCATACCTGACTTACTTCTTAGAAAATTACTGTAAACCTGGGAGTATAGATCAAAACAAATCCATTATCTGTCATTTGATAAATACTAGTGCAAGGCTTCAGAAGAATTCTTTACATACATTTAAGGAAGGACAAACACACCCAGAACTTAAAGCTCTTAACAACGTGTTTTATCATTAGGAAAAGACATGATGCATTAGATTAGTCTCAATGCAGATTAAATGTTTGACTACAGAGTGGGAGAGATTTTTGTGATGTGAAGATAACTAGTAGAATGGAATGCAGATTAACTGGGTTCAATAGTATTAATCCCAGAATGTCTCTTGATTTACACAGTTTCACAATATCTGCATTTAAACATAATTGTTTAAACAATTTAAAGAATTTAAAGAATTAAAATTTAAAGAATTGTTTAAATGCCCTGTTAGATCAACTAAGATGTAAAAACTGTTTGTAAAATAAAAGAAACTTCAAGTACACCATTCCACTGCTAAATGAGCTCTCCCTGTCAATGGTGCTTTGGCTGAGCCTGTTGACTCATCTAAAGAGATACTGAAACAAATATTGTTTATAAAGGACATTGGTGAAATCTGAAGGATACCTAAGGCTCACCATTGTTGCAATATGTGCATTTACTATAAGGGTAATAACCAAATTGTATTAAGCAGAAATATGGCCAGGCTACAAAACAATGATTTTCTAAGCTGATGCCTTCCCCTTCCCAGTTTCAAGCGATAACGTTCTGCCTAATATTTTACTTAACTCTCCAGGCACACCGGTCTGCTGTGTGACTGTTTCTTGTCTTTGGACTAAAATGATTGCAATTCTGCTGGTGTCTGTGTCAGTGATGTTGTACAGTGGTGAGTAGCAATGTATTTTTATGATTATTTGAAATCTATGTCTAAATACTGCTGTAAGTTTGCGCGTTTGGAAACAACCCTTTAGAAGAACACCTTCTCCCCCCTCAAATCTGACGTTGAATGATCAAATACACCTAAAAAAGTTTGTCTATGGAGTTCTTATAAAATGTATTTTTCTCAGGACTTTTAGTGTAGCAAGAAACATTTAGTGGGATTAAAAATACACCCAAATAAACTGCAACTTTCTTTCTGCTAGTATTTGGTTATTATTTAAATCCTTTAGACTCCAAAAAAGTTACAAGTTAAAAATAAAGAGATTCTACTCGTTCAATACACGTGCATTGTCTAAATTCTCCAAACCATTCAGTGCATCCTGAAATATGACTCGTGTTCAGATAAAACTCCTCCTTCAAATTTTGCTATGAATAATTTTCTTCACGTAACTCTTCTGATTTTCTTGTCATGGGTGAAGGAGCTTCCCTGTGACAGGGGTGGGCAAATATTTCAAGTCTCTGCAGTCCCTGTGCTGTGGGTAGCAGTGTGCAGGTGAGGAGGAGGACTCTTGGAAGGCCTAACACCATTTCTGGTCACTCCATGGATTATTTCTAAAGGGAAAAGAAAGATCAGCACCTTGGCATAGACTAAATTCTGCACTGATCTACTTCAATTTCACCAGTCACCTCTCTCCTCAGGGGCTGCAAGCATTAGAAGTCAGTAAAGAAAAAGTTCTAACCGAAAACATATGGGATAAAATATACTGATAAAGCTGAACCTTAAGACTCCTAGTGTATGAATAGAAAACCGAAAGAGTATTAGCATTTCCCACTGCAGTGATAGAGAACGCCAAAATACCTACTCCATTTATCCATTATGAATAAAGGGATATTTAGTCCCCAGATGTGAAGGGAACTATATATTGATAATATCTAGAGCACTCAGTAATGTCTGGACACTCAGAAATTTGTCTACATAATGTTTAAAAGAGATTTCTCCCCAAACCTCAAATGCTGTGCCACAGTTTTCATAGTCTTGTCCCCCAGCTAAGCACAGCCTGAGGCCAAAGATTTAAAATGTTACCCTTTTTAGGTTTGGAGAGGATTGTTGATTTATATTTATGTGGCATCTATTCTGCTGATCTCTGCTTTGAGACTAAAGCAAGTATCTGTGCATGAGCTAGCATCTTTGTGAGAACCTAATGTGATTTACCTTGAATAAATCAAGCAAGTTGGGTTTGCTGCTGCCTGATTTATCCTGGCACAGTCAAGGTTTCTGCTCCCTGAGGATTACAATGACTCCACCCATGCCCTAAATGATGGTGTTTTAATTAGCCACAATTGCAAAACACACCTGGAGGTGCACTGATGGCTTTTTGATGGGCTGTTTTCACATAGCGCTGCAGAAAAGCATTGTCAGAGCGGCAACATCACAGACACAGTCTAGAAAGGTTTTTTACATGTGTCTGAAAGTTCTGTCGGTAAGGTACACAACAGAAAAGCCCAAGAGCTGATGTATCATAGGAGTCTCCTAGGGACATGTGACAAGTCAGCAGGTTGTAGAGAAAAGAAAGAGAAGTTGACATCCCCAGGATCTTCTGAGGTTTAAAGGACTGAGTTTCGTAGCGCAATCTTTCACTGGCTTGGCAGGGAGCAACACAGGACCAAAAGACATGACAGTAAAAGAAGAAAAGAGAATAATCCATCCAGAAAGTATTTTCTCTTTGTCCATCCCATGACAATTTAAACAAAATGAAGCAATCTTATTGGCAGACATTGGCTCATTGATCTTGACTTAGTGACAACTAGAAATATGGTTCTTTGCAATAAAAGGATTAGAATAGCCAGAGGATTACTGAGCTGCTGACCCTGTGACAGAGATTTGTCTCTAGGGGAACTTCAAACATGTACATGTTAATTGGGTGTGTGCAAATGAAGTTTGCTGAGAAGAACAAAGTGCAAGTGAAGGATTTTGCCCAGGGAGGTTGTGAATGCTTGTCCTGGGTTCAGCACGACAATGCTCCATCCCTGGCAGTGTTGAAGACCAGGTTGGATGAGGCCTTGGGTGACATGGTTTAGTGTGAGGTGTCCCTGCCCATGGCAGGGGGGTTGGAACTGGATGATCTTAAGGTCCTTTCCAACCCTAACTATTCTATGATTCTGTGATTCTAAAAATGCTGGAGCATATCACAACTTCAGCAGTTCTGTAACGTGGCTTTATCAGTTCTCTCGGTCTCATTGCAACTCAATGGGATTTTCATGTTTTCCAAAGTTTTGCTGAAAGGACTAAATGAGCACTGGCTATTGATCAACAGACACTGAGTCTGAACCATGGTGTTACACAGTTTGCCAAAACATGGCTCCAGATGTGCTTGATAGAAATGGCTTGGGAGAAGGACGTTTGTCATTGCAGAGGAAATACAGGCTTTAATCCAAAAATAAGGGGCAATTTTTCTTTAGCAAGCGTGTGTACAAAAACACAGCATTCAGTGCTATTTATTTTGCAAGGCACACCATTGCTTTGATCGAATCTGATTTACTCCTGGCTGTCAAGCTTTCAACAGACCTGTTTCAGCTGCGTGAAAAGGCCACCCTTTATCAGGAGTTGTTGTGTGGTTTGTGGAAAGCAGTCTGTCCCTTCAGACCTGCTGCAGTGAAGGGTGCTTCTGATGGATTGCTGGTCTTCTAAAAGCTTTTCATTGTGAGCAAGACTTTCAGGAAAAGAAAAACAGAAGAGGAACATCCTGTTCCTATCTCCCTCAATCCCATATCCATATTCTGCCACTAACTTGAGAAATGAGTTGCTGGAGGCATATGGCTCTTACCATGAACATCTTGTTCAGTACACAAAAGTTGTAGACATCCTGAGAAAATACTTATATATAATCTAAGGAAAAGGTCCTATTTTTTTCCTAATCTTTTCCTAAACATAGCTTTAAGCAGTCTATATCTATAAACCCCATTACTCCAGTTTCTTACACTTACATTTATGGCAGGGAAATGCAACAAATTGGCAAGATAACTGTCAGCTCTCTCCAGAATCTTTCATAGAGACCACAGACAGCTTTCCTAATGCCAGTGTTTCTGAGATATAAGCTATGCCATGAATTTAGCATTAGGGTTTTTCTTCAGTTTTTAGAACCTTGAGCCATTAAATACCTTTAATACCTTAAAAGAAAAAAAAAGTTTAGTTTAAATATATCCAAAGTAACACATTCTCTCCTAAAATAATGCAAAAAATAAGAAAGAGGAGAAATAGGAAGGGAGAGAACAAGTCTTGATTTCACCCTTGTTCAGGACATGGCAAATAGAAAGAAAATACATCACAGGATCTTCAAAAGGAAAAATACAATTAAGAAAAAACCAGTTTGGGAAGAGAAGCAATAAGGACTCAGAAAAATGAAAACTCTTGTCTTCAAATAACCATCGAATCATAGAATCATAGAATAGTTAGGGTTGGAAAGGGCCTTAAGGTCATCTAGTTTCAGCCATGCTTCAAATAAGAGCACAGGGTTACAGAGTAGAAACATTTGGGACAATGAAACTAGTTGGGCAACTGAAGCAGTGTTATACAATTCTACTGATACATCCCAGCAAGTGCTGCTGTTCAGAAGAGTTAACACATCTAACCTACAAGGGTTAGCACATCTTCACCAGCAATATCTCAGTTTAAGCTGAAGTCAATGTGACTTAACCAGTATGCTTCCAGGCTTTTCTGGGTGTGGATGGAGCCAAGCAACTGTTTCATGGCTTTGATGAAGCACCTCAGTAGTGTAGGAAGGTATCTGAAATGCCTGCAGTGTATGTGTCATAATAAAGTAAGTATATGGCTTTGATTTGTTGTTTTCATTTATATTTAAATCTTTTTCTTCTCAAATGTGTTTGCTGAAGCAGGTGGCCAAGGATTGGAGAAGCCAGCATTCCTGCCAGAGCTTCTTGACACTCCTGAAAGAATCCTGAGTAAGAATGGTTTAAGCTTTACTTTCTACACTATTGCATGGCAGTGGGGAATCGCTTGTACTCGAGAAGCATCGCAGCGGCACGTGCTGTCAGCAAACAGCTAGTAACTCTTATCTCAAGCTGGTTTAGCAACTGAAGCAGGACCAGGGGCAGTCTGGGGGCAGCTCTTGTCATTTACCTTTTAATAAAGAAGTGTGGTTTGCTTATCTTTTCATCCAGACAATGCCACATTCTTCAATGGAGTCTTTCAAAATGTGGAAAGTGTTGCATTATTTTTTGGTAAGTATGCGTTCCATTTGTACTTGAGCACTGAATAGAAATCCCATGGAGTTTTCTTTTGTATACACTGAAAAGGAACAGGGATTACTGAGATTGTAGATTTCCCCAAAGACTATAATACTAAATACCGTTAACTGTTGCCATGTTTTAAGGACAAGTGTCAAGCATTGCTCAATGTCCCTGCCTTGTTTAGGCTCTGTTTTCACGTGAACATCACTCATGTGTGACCCACACCAGGCTCACCTCCATTGACCTCGATTTTGTGGCTGCTCTCCTTCCAGACTGCCTGGGTTCTCACTTCACCTGGTTACAGTCCATCTTCACGAACTTCCCTGCCCTGCTCAACTTTGTGAACAGAATGAAGTGTGTTACTGGGCTTTGTCCCAGGGACTTCGAAGACTATGGTTGCTCTTGCCGGTTTGAGATGGAAGGACTCCCTGTGGATGAAGCTGATGAGTAAGTGTTAGCCCCATCTGCCCTGACTGGCTGTCAGTGCCCTCATGCTTTGATGACCCGAAGTGTAATACTTGCCTAAACAATTTGAGGACAGTTGTAAAAAAAGGTTTTGTTCAGAGTTATTATAAACGCTTTCCACCCCTGTTGAATCTATTCATCACACACAACCTAACTATCAGATATAACCTACAAAAGACAATTTCAGCCCTGGTTTATTAGCCCTGTCCTATGTTTTTCCTACCTGCTGGTCAACAGATCATTTTGTTGGGCCAACACCCCATACCAGTCACTTTACAGCATGGCTTGGAAACAAATAAAGTCGAGGTGGTCATAATCTATAGCATATAATGATCCACTTGCTTCTTCTTCTTCATAGCTCAGAATCAACCCATCTTACCACACTTCACTGGGGAGAAATAGTCCCATCCTAGAGATAAAAGCAAAGTCTCTCACACCTGCATACAATTCCACTAGTGCAGCTCTGGTGGCACAGCTGATTTAAATTGGTTGCAAAGGTGGGTTACTAATGCAATAGCATAAGCAAACACCATACCCATCTCCTTGACAAATCTTACCCAGAAGTTCCAAATTCTTTAAATTCTGGACAGATCTTTGTGAACAAAACCTCACAAATTCCTTTGTATTGGGGAATTCTGTCTTACCCTTCAATTGGTGCCAAAAACTGGAAGGCCTGTTATTAAGGTGAGTGGGAGAGCATCAATCCGAGCAGTTTAGTGAGTTTACAATCTTACCAAAGTGTTGGTATTGGGAGCAGTGTAAGGTCATAGTGGGCTATAATGACAATGTTGGCATCTGAAGGGGATTTAAGCATCAACAGAATCAGGTTGCAGCTGAGTATGACTTCAAGTGGCAGGTAGGAGGTTAAGTAGATCTTGCCCTGAATACCTGTGTTGTGAGCACTGGAGCATCCAGGAGCAGAGCAGAACAATGTAACTCAATGGCTTTTCCCAGTATCATGCACCAGGAACTGAACCATCCAAGCTCCTCTCTGTGCTTTGGAGGGATGCTGCCGCAGACCCTGACTGGGCTAATGAGAAGAAATGTAATCTCAGGCCAGGACAATCAAATGGTTATTCACTTATACCAGTGTGAGGTGTGAAAAGAAATTCAAAGAGAATCAGGATCCATGTCTAAATAGAAAAAAGTTTCTTCCAACAATGTAATGTATTAATGCCCTGAGTGAAGACAGCAGTGGCTCAGGAAGGGGTAGTGCCTATAGCTAGATGGAAATGAAACCATCCACTTTCCAGCATGGGATGGCTGGGAAAATGAAAATCTAAGCCTGCTATTGGAAAAAACCCATGGGACTTCTTAAGAAAGCTTTTCTGAGCACTCATGATGACACGCTGAAATAAGAGCTCAAATCAGTTCAATGCATTGATACCTGTGGAGCTGAGCACCTGGGCTTTTGCCTTACTTAGCTTCATTTTAATGCAGAGCAGCATAAATACAGACAGGGCTGAATGATTTATCAGCATGTTTGTCCAAGAACCATCCATAGATCCTCTTAGTGTTTACAGATAAGTTAGCAGCCCTGCAGTGAGGTTTCCTTAGCGGCATGGCAACCCCTCTGCAGGTTGCAGTAAATGGAGACTGATTATTGCTTTGCCACTGACACAGATACGCCTTTGGTTCAATTGAGCATCAAACCAGTGGCTGTTTTTTTCAGACATGGTTCCTAGCGTGTCCTAATCTTCTCAGTGACTTTATTTCTTGGAAACTAGTTTTGCAAACCTCAGATTTTGTCACTGCCATTTCTGCTTCATAAACAGGGGCTGAACATCTCACTGTAGGGTTTTAAGGCATTGGAAAAGGTTTGTACCAGACCTTTCCCATTTCCCCGAGTAGTTTATTGCATATCTAAATTAGAAGCCCAGTCCACGGGCTCCATTAGGAGCCTCCATAGTCAACGGAGAAAGAGAACCATGCCCAGAGGACAATCCATGTCTTACAATTCCCTTCTTACAAAGGGAAGGCAAGTATATTTTCTGATTAACTGTTTCAGGGTTGACATGATTGTGATGCTTCAAACAAACAAGAACTGCAGGAAGTTTGCATAATTATGCAGTTAAAGGAGCTTTTATGTGCTGACACCTCACTAGATCTCAGGCACAAAAAGGAATGGTTCTTGACACATTTCATCAGCTCTGTGTTTAAAACCCTGTTCTTGATAGAGTTTACAGATTTAGCCCTCACCTCTGAAACAAGACATAGTAGTGTTTGTGGTGTGGAGGAGCCATCAGAGACGCTCTGCTGAATGCTATTTGCCCTCACCTTTGTTCAATACACTCCAGCAGTCTCCTAAACCAGGTTATAGCAGGAAAACCCACCAACAGGCAGCAGAGACCCTGGAGTGCAAGAAACTGGGCTTTGAAACTTCATCATCTGGGATAACACTATTATAGAATAATAGAATAGTTAGGGTTGCTATTCATGAGCTCTGATCCGCTGCTGGCAACCTAAGCAAACCTCATCTCCGATGTCTTTCAACAAGTCAAAAGTGTGATTGTGGTTAGGACTTGGACTGCTTCCATGGTTGTGAGGGATATTGCAATAATATATTAATATTGTAAGTGATTAAATATTAAACGCTTCCTAAATATAGGTTGTGAGGAAGTTAATGTGTAGCCTAGAAAGGAGCGTGTTTGCTCCCTGCTCTGATCGGTGCAGGAGTGCTTCAGTCCACACTAGGTGCACATGCAGGGCAGTGGGTGATGTGTAATAACACATTCACTGTGTCTTTAACAAAAATCTCCTATCAGCTTAGTTAAATTAAACTCCTTATATCATTCTATGACCGCGTGGCATCGTGATTCCTGGCAGCAGATGCTGGGTTTGAGTGTTAATGTTGTCTCTGCATTCAGCATGGACAAGACCAATGGCAATTCAATAACAGCCCCATGTTCTGAGCCTGTTTCTCTGAAATTAGGATATTTGAGTCTAAATCGAGCAGCAAGCCCCTGCTTTATCTCTGTAACAATTTTATATGGGGTAAATGATGACTGAATGTTTTACTGGTGTTTCATTTATAGCTGATGTGAGTGCACACAGATGCTGTTATAATATAGAAGAAATGGCTTTGTTCAAAAACAGCTGAAGAGCTGATTGATGAAGAGCTGCTTGTTTTAGCTGACTTTCATTGCTATTCACAGCTAAAGTGGTCACACAGACGTTTGGGGTTTGCATTTCAGGCATTTGTGGCTCTTTCGCGTGGCTGTATTTTAATTCTGCTCGTTGCATAGCAGAGAAAGTACAGAAACAGAGGGTTACACTGCACAGATTTATATATTCTCAGCAAGACACAGGGATTCACAAGGCATTGCAGATACATTAACCCTCAGTGAGTGCCAGGCTCTTTGTAGTTGTCCAAATCTGCAGTGAGAAAGGTTGTGGCAGGGCTGGATCTGAGCTCTCTAGAGCCGAGCCATGAGGCACAGTTTGGGAGTGAGTGCTGTGGGTCAGTATTTGGATACTGGCAGTGGATTTCTCATTTAAACTGCCTGTGGAATCCTTGTAAGAACTCAGGTACTGCAGCAGGACAGAAATGAAAGCGTTGTTTCCCACAGCCTGCAGACCTGATCCCAGCATTGAGTTTTGCATCCAGCTGTACTTATCGCACTAGACTGACCTAGAGGAAAGTAGTATTCAGTCTTCCTTGTGCCTAGGGACCACACTGAGGACCTCTTTTTCCTCTTTAGCACTTTTTGCATTCTTGAGTAAGAGCAACATGAGAGCATTGCAGTCTGAGCTTGAACTGAAACTAAATCCTGTGCACTGTGTGTTATTTCATCCTTTAAGATGCTGTTTCCAGCACCGGAAATGCTATGAGGAAGCGATGGAGATGGAGTGCACGTGGGACCCATCAAAGGTTCCTACAGATGTCAGCTGCTCTACTGAAAACCTGACCTGTGGTAAGATTAACCCATTAAAGGAGCTTAATGCTGGAGCCTCACCATGACCAAGAAGCTCGTTTTGCTTTGCCCACTGAAGTCATATATAAACTTAGTAGAAACCACCTCCTCATGTGGATTTTGAAGGGATTAAGTGTTCTGCTCAGGACTGAATGGAAATGGGAATACACAGAGGTATCAAAGCCCAACTAGGCAGAGAAACTGAAGTCAAATAGGCTTCATGAACAGGCTGAGGTTTCCCTGACCTTGCAGGTCCACTGGCATTGATCGAGATATCTCCACATATCAGAAGTGCAGTGGATGCTGGGAAAATACCTCACAAACAGTTCCCTTCTGAAGTTTGAAGGCCTCAGTTTTATATACATTGAGGGATCCAAAGTATTTGTTCACAGGGTTATATACACTCCTCAGCTACAACAGTATCACCAATGACAACAGAGACAATGGCATTACAATAGGAGTTACTCCATGCAATGCTGGAATAGTCCTGGCAAGTGTGGAGTGGGGCTCTTTAATGTCTAATAGTTTTTAATACAACATTTCAAGAAGTATTGGCTCTCAGAAAAGATGATAAGCTAGAACATGATTTGAGGATACTAGCAAAGAGGAGAAGAATGCCTAAACTTGATTAAGCAATCTGATTCAATTTCCTTTTCTTGTTTCAAATTGAAATTGTTTTTGCTATTCAGGCCAATCTGTAATGGTCAAAGCGCATTAAAAGAATAGTACATGCCAAAAATATGAAATATAAGGGTGACACCTATGAAAGGTCAATGTTCTTTGAAACTCCGAAAGGTAGAAGTTTTTGAAGTGGGAAAATAGTATTTCCTATGAAACTGTTTCATATCCTTTAGAAGTAAATCACACCTTACATGAAAAGCTTGTCATCTGGACTTCGAATTCTTGGAGATAGGAGGGATGTATTAATGAATTCATGAAATGACAAAGCTGGTATCAGCTGGATTAAGTTTTCCATGGGAAAACTAGAGGCAGTAAAGCACTGCTCTTTAGTCCTTAATACTCTATGGAAGGAACCAGCAGTGTCAGGCTACATTGGCATTTCACAACCAGTGTTGGATTGTGAAACTTGACTGTGTTTAATGTGAAAAATCACAGTACAAATAGGTTTGCATTAATGAACATAGACACAAACCTTACAGGGAGGAAAAAGCAGGTGATGGAAAAGGTTTTTCAATAGTACCTCGTTTGGATCCTTGTTTTATTTCCAGATTCTGGGGATCCCTGTGAACAGCTCCTCTGCAACTGTGACAAAGATGCCGTTGAATGCTTGGCGAAGGCACATATTAACTCCTCCTTGAATGGGCTGGATATTTCCTTTTGTCTACCTCTGGTTACAGGTAATAATAAGGACCTGATTGACTGCCTCCTCCTGCTTGCTTTTTCAACTGGCATCAAATCTGACCCAAGAATGAAGCAGTAGCTGGGCACTTCGCTGCAATAGGTCCAGGACTCTGACCTGCTCTCCATTTCATGTGTCCTTTCCATTTACTGCTACTCAAGTGAATTCCAAAGAGAAGAAGGTAGACTAATTGCTGTCCTGGAGCCCATCCAGGAGAGGTTACCGACCTCCTGAGGGGGCTGGAGCACAGGATGAAAGAGGAGGAGGCTCAGGGTAGATCTCTTTTCTGTCCTCAATAGTAGTGTGCCTATTGAGGTGTGGAGAGAGAGCCAGACTGTTACTGGAGCTGCTCAGAGACAGGACAAGAGTCAAGAGACACAACTGCAACAGGGAAATTCCAGTTAGATAGGAAGGACTTTTTATTTCAGGAGGCTCCTGCACCCCATCCCTGGCAGTGTCCAAGGCCAGGTTGGACATAGGTTTGAGCAACCTTGTCTAGTGGAAGGTGTCGCGGCCCATGGCAGGGGAGTGAAACTGGATGAGCTTTAAGGTCCCTTCCAACCCAAATCATTCTATGGTTATTATTCCATGATTTTGCCAACCTGATAGTTGGGATGATTAGTGAGCCCCCTGAGGTCACTAGCAGGAATGCCGAACTGCCAAAATATCGCTAGCCCAAATATTCCTCAAACCATATAAAAACTAACTGGAAAAGCAAAAATAGACCTGCTCTGTTCTGTTATTTGGTTTTCATCTTGGAAGGCAAAATCCTCTCTAAAGTCAAAGGGGATATTTATCTCCATTGTCATACATTGATCTCTGCTCTGTAGCTGAAATTACAGCCTTCTAAGACTGAATACCTGTCCTGTGGGAACAGGGCTGGATTAAAAACTTAATTCATATGGATTGCAATCAGAGCACAGCAAGAGGGAAGACCTTTGAACTCCCAAGCTGAGACAGAGGTGAAAAAGCAATACTAGTTTTTCTAAGCCTTTGGCTCACATTCACACACCCCAGTGCTAAATAACGATGGATACACACATCTATATCAGGCTCTGGATGTGCAGCCCCTTGTGAACAGGTCAATGGAGAAGAAAATGCCACAGGAACGTGTACATCAAAGGCAGAAAATAGCTTTGTGTAAGCCAGGAATCTTTGACTAGGATCAGATGGCTCTAATAGAGAGTGTGTCAGTTCCAACACATTACAAATAAGGGGAAATTGTTAGGTGCTAACAGGAAAATCATGCTAGTTTTAGCTCTGCTGATAAAGATAGATTCAATTTTAGCTCACCTGATACCTCTCTAATTTTAGGCCTCTGATTATATTTCTTAATGGAAAAATAAAGTCCTTTGAATGAAACATCTTTATTTAGTGTTCACTCCTGTTATTATCTTTCTGTGTAGTTCTGGCCAGTTCAGGCTTTTTAAAGAAAAATAATGACCTCATCTGACAAATTTCTAGGAAAAATATTTTGGCAGATTCATTATTACAGAGAAAAAGTTGAACGAAATGGGGATGTATTTGCCTAAATATTTGCTAACAGGAATAAATTCCATGAACACCCCGTTTGCCCTATTCAGATTAAGCAGTGACAAATGCCCTCCTTGCACTTTAGTTGATGAGAGAACTTCCTCTTTTTTCAGAAACCACCAGCAAAAGAGAGCTGACAACACTTCATACAAAGGGTACGTGCTCATTTCTGTGATTCACTGACTGCAGTGTGTTAAGCTGAGACCAATTTATATTCAGAAGAATAACCCCATTATGTAGAAGCCATGGATTCCTTTCTGAGAAGCAAAGTTTTAGCAAGATGCCAAAATATGAAAGGCAGAGAAATAAGCCCAATAAACCAAAGCACCATTTTTGTGACAAGTGTTTACTCAGGTGCACAGGAAAACTTCAGCCAAATGACTCCTTTTTCTGAGAAGGAATTCAGAAGAGAACCCTGAGTTTCATTGAGAAATAATATAAGTAATGTACTAAAAGCAGCTTAAAAGCAGTTTCAGGTGGATCCTTTTCTATTTTCATGCCCATTTAGGGCCCTGCTCCAACAAGCATCCTAACCAAGTGCTTTGATTTAAACATATAAGCTTTGCATTTAAATATTTAATTCTTATCTTGATACCTTCACTATTGGCCACGTATCCAAGTACCTGCTGAAATGGGAATGTAAAAAATGCCGATCACCAGGCAGTTTCTCTTGTTTAGGCTGAAATTCTTTGTGATAGAGACTGAGGGATTCTTTTATGATGATGATTATTATAGTGCATGCTACTGAGTAGAATTTAGTATCAGCAGTGAACAAATAGCAAGGCAGGATTTAGTGCTGCTACTGTAATTATCAATAATTAGGTTTGGATTTGCTGTATTTAATATAAATATGATATATATATTACAATAATTAGGTTTTGATTTTCTATATTTATATAATATAAATATGATACACATATTATATATTTATATAAAAAGTAACCGTACAAAAAGCACAATAATAATATTTATGACAAAATTACATGCTGATCATGTTATGCCAAGATCCAGTCTAATGAGCATCCTAAGCCATGGCTCTCTGGAGTAAGAACGCTTTTATTTCTGCAGACTTACTTCGTCTTGGGACTGATGGAACACAGCCTGCGACTGCATCCATGGAAGAAGGTTTGCAACTTGCAGTGCAGGAAGCACTGCTTTCAGCTCCCAAAAGCTGAAAGGATAAAAGACAAGAATGAGCTGTTTGCTTTCTTTCTGCCTTTCCCAAAGGACTGCTATAAAAGTAGATATAATGTTTTGGTGATTGAATTCAAGGCTGAATGAGAAGGTGCTGGTTTTCAGTTTGTGCCTAATGCAATGTGCCTAACCAGTGTTCACAGTAAGTTTACCAAGGGCTGAGAATAAGAACTCCACAACAAACCCTGTTTTCATCAAAGCAGACCTTTTTTATCCCTGAGAACACAGGTAGAAGCAGTGAGCCGTTTGGCAGACACGTGCTATGTAGGTGCCAACCACTGGTCCCACAGCCAGTTCCATACTTCTTGTCTTTAAAGAGATATTTGTTTATAAAGGACCAAGCTGTACCATGAGGAAATATCAAGCATGGTTTGTGACAAATGAGCCAGCATTTTAGTGGTTTATTTACTTGCAGACATCCAGGCTCAAGTCCCTGTTACTCTGGTACCTCCCGAGTGAGTTCCTAAACCATGAGACCAAGTGGTTCTTCTGACAATCTTCATTTCTTACTTCTACAGTCAAGTTATCTTATTCAGGAACGGATGCTCACAAAATCTCATTGCTGTAGTATGAGACAACTATTTACTTTTCACCTTCATGGTGTGCACTGCAACACAAGAAACAGGCCATGGGCAGAAGTCATCCAAAGTCCTGGGTGGTTCTGGGGGCACACCTAGTAAGTAAGGTCCAATTCACACAGCAGTGAAATACAGGAGACCAGTCTTTGATGATCCATAGTCCAATTTAGCTGATGCACTCTTGTAATCAAAAACAAAACCAGTGTTGTGTACAGGGATCTTGTATTTAACAAGTACCAAGTCACTGTGCACTGGATGGGTGCAACCAAGCAACCACTCATAACACCATAGAATCAATTAGGTTGGAAAAGACCTTTAAGATCATCAAGTCCAATCATTACCTCAGGACTGCCAAGACCACCACTAAACCATGTCACTGCGGGCCTCATCTACACAGTTTTTGACCACTTGAACACTTGAGAAGAGATGGAAAGTTGCACTTTTGAGGAACTTAAGAGCTCAGGTTCAAGCTGTTGTGTGCTCTCCCATGTTTCTCAGTAAGCCATAGCCCTAAGTGTGAATCTAGAATAATGAAAAAACATTAAATCATATGGACTTTTTTCGTCTTTTTTTTCCCCCTTCCATTTTCATCCTTTTTTTTAAATAAAAAAAAAGAAATATTCCTTCAGACTTTAACAATTTTTCTTTTCATTTTTTTAAAAAAGTGCCACAAAACAAGGGTGCTCTATGCTGAGTGTAAGTGCTGACTGTTTCTCCATGCCTCCCCTGTATCATGGTGGGGTTTTTACTGGATATTTCTTGTTCTCACCTAACAATAGGCTCCAATATTGGCTCATGTTTTTCTAGCTGCTGCTGGGAAGCTTGGTAGTAGAAACCTGAGAACTCCAGGAGGAGTGAGTGCACCTCCATTTGCACATCTGTAGCAATCTTTTACTTCCTAAAAAAATGATTACTCATGGTCTCTAAGGAGATATCACTCATCATAAGGCTCAAAATAGTGCCAAAGGATAAAAACCTGCATTAGGAACTTCAGAAAGCTGAAAACGTACCAGAAACCATAATAGTCAGACTTTGAAGGAAACATTTGGAGAACTACTTCCCATTTAACTAGTTGTCTCTCCATTTAAACCCAAATGAGAGCCACCATCAACAACCGTGGAAACTGTATTAAACCAAAGCTAAGCACTACTGCGAAGCAATGGCAAAGACGTTCTTGATCACATCACAAAATCCTAACTCATGAAAAAGGTGCAGAGATTAATTTTTGGATCATTTGATAGCTATGTTTGTAATTTATCAAAAGGTAGCTGACAAATGAAAATAACTTTATCAGGTAAAAAAATAAAATTGGAGGTTAAGGAAGTATTTTCCTTTGTAACTCCCCATTATACTTGACTTTGAATGCAGGTGTTTATGAGAAACGTGGCATCTGTGTGCAACAGTGAAATTTTATACCTAACCCTCTTTAGTGCATTTGTCTGTCAAATGAATTTAATATTGAATTTGCTACTTCAGTCACATTTATGCTGTAAAGCACATTATTTGAACGCAGCAATAAGATTATTTGATCAGCATCGCTTTGTCTACAACAATTAATGCACCGCTGATATAAGCAGGCAGATCGCTATATATGAAACGCCTGGCTCTTCCTGCACTGCTGAAAGAGCTTTCTCAGCAGCTTGACTTTTCATAAGAGTTTGTGCTGGCAACTTGTTTTCTGAGTCTACATTTTCCTTCTTCAACAGTGAACTCCTTTGAGCCCAGTGAGATGGCCCTGGGGACTTCCAGAGCCAGAGGTAAGAGTCTGATTATACTGTTGTTGACGAATCAGGCACTCTTTACTGCAGGTGAAATTGGATTTTGGTTTATGAAGCTCTGTGCTGTCACAGTTAAAAATCTGCAGCACAGGATTTCTAGATAATACTCTGGTTAATGCTCTGGTTCTTCCACTGACTTGCACATCCTTCAGCAAACCACTTCGCTTTTCCCAATCACCCCCTTTATAAAACAAGGCTGATAGTTATGTTAAGCTTTATGATCTTTCAGTGAATTCAGCCCAAAAATACACTGCAGAAATGCAGCAGGTAGGTCACTACCACGATGCCTCTGTTTTTTGTGCAGTTACCACAAGGGACCACAGAGTTACAGCTCCTGCTCCCCCTGTCCTCCCAATAAAAGGTCAGTGACTCTCAGCCTTCCTTCCTCTTTGACTGACACAGAAATATTTCATCTAAAAGCATCACAGTTAATAATCTATGCAGTGAGAACAGGGCTGCCAGAGAATAACATTTAGATTAGGGTCAGATTGCATATACACCAACAATAAAACCAGACTGTGAAGTATCAGCTGTTTGCTGCCTCCAGCCATTCATTTGCATTCTTCATTATTTGCAAAAACCTCTTCACATAAGATTTTCTGATATAATGGTCTATCCTTTAAATTACATCCATAGCACCTGCTGCCAGAAGGGTTCATTTTGATTTTTCCTCTGTCTTTATAACATGGAATTTCATAGAATTCTTTCCCAGTCTAAGCCCTACTTCAGCTTTTGCAATTCTTAGCACTTTGATCCCAGCCACACCAGTAGCTACAGCTGGAAGTGGAGCACCTTGGTAGACTTTGAAGTTCTCATTGGCCCCTTTTTTGTAGAAAGAAACATTCATGTAGACAAACACACCAGAAAAACACCAATAAGCACTGAATATGGGTGTAGAAAGTCGCTATTTTTTGACATTGATTGCATTGTCTGAGCAGTATCCATATCTCCCACCCCACAGACATTTGACATTGCTGTACTAAGCACTGGTCAAAAATCACTAACTATTCTCATCTGTCAAAACCCTGTGCTGCTTGCAGACCTGCATGGCTCCTGGAAGATTATTTGTACCGTCTATTTTTAGCTAAGTGCATTTCCCAAACTCTAGTTTTATTTTCTACATCTGGCAGGAATTGCTTTCATTTTAACACATCACTGTCAAAGCGGCATAAAATGTGCACCTTGCCGAGCTGTTAAAACTAGTGTGTTGCTACTGATCCCTTTCTGCAAACTTTCATGGGCTTCGTTGTGTTCTTAGCAGGATTTTCATTATTTTAATCTATTCCCTTACCATATGACAGGTCATTTCCAACACATACTAAAACCAGAACATCAGAGGGACAAATTTAATGAATCTGAGTTTAATCCAGTTAATAAGTTGACCCATGGAATTCAAAAGGAAAGGCTTTAAATGCGTGGAAACACATGTTCACTAGTATTCTCCAAGTATTTTGTTTGTGAAATGCCACATTCTTCATATTGACATTCAGGTGAAATGAATCCATTTGATTTCCTTTCATAGAATCATAGAATAGTTAGGGTTGGAAAGGACCTGTTTTCATGTACAAGTTAGCTTATACAAAAAAGCTTAAAAAAAAGAAAGGAGATGTTAATCAATTCCCAAATGAAACAAAATATTCCCATTCAACAATAAAGCTTCAGATAATCTATAAACAAATACCAGTTTTTAGGATAAAGAATCTCCTTAAAATTATCTTTCCATTTAACCTCAACTTATTTTCCCCTTGCCATTTCCTTGTGGCTACTACACAGCCATCCTTTAGTTTCCCAGCGCTGCATCAGTCAAGCAATTTTCCTGCCTTCGCTAAAGTCTCTCTCTGTCACCCTCATGTGAACTGACACCTATTTTTTGAGCAGTTTACTCTGAAAATGACATCTCATGACACCTCCCCTTGCACTTCATCTCTCAGCAGGGCTGACTAACCAGCAAACCCTATTATTTGCAGCAACATATAAGGTTTTAAAAATTAAACAGTGGTTAAACTGGGTGTATTTAACCAAAGCCTTATCTTCTGAAAGGCAAAGGATGTGAAGAAATGACCAGTGTAGATACTCTTTGATTTTCCAGTTTTCATCCTGAATGTTTCTTCTCTATGACCATCAACTCGCACCAGCTCTGCCTGAGGATATTACTCTGACCGACTATCTAAAATGAAAATCTGTTTATTTCCTGTGTTGTTTTCTGCTTTCCTCTTTCTGCTTATTCAGAGGAAGATGGATTTATGGAAGCTGCAGTGTCAGTGGAAGAGATAACCACGACCCCAGCCTCGTTCCCAGCAGGTCTTAACTCACTGCAAGTCAAAATGGTTCCCACAGAGAAGATTCCTGCAGCCATATCTGCAAGGACAAAGGAAGAGGGCAAGTAAAAATGATTACGCTTATTCTAATTTACAGCAGTCCCCTATTCCTGTTCACAGCTACCTGAAGATTCAACATTTCTCACAGATATGTAGAATAACACTGTTTTCTCCCTAAATCTGGATAGATCACATAGAATACAGAGTGCACAACACAGACTGCACTGAAAGGAACGGTTCATTGTCCAACACCCACCAGGAAAGCTTAACTAACCATTAATGAACAGCCTTCCAACTATGAATTAAACAAGTGCTAGGGGACTGCCAATGGATTGTGGTTCAGAATATACACTTTTAGAGCCATTACTGAAAGAAGTGTTTCTTCTGCCTTTGCAAGTCTAATCTATGCATATGTTATCTCCAGAGACAAGCCCTGCAAGGGGTGGCCAAAGCCCAACTTCTTCTGGAATAGCTCTGGAGCTGGTACTGTCTGACAGGAGAGCCAGTGAACCTGCAGGAAAGGGTAAATGAAGTTGGTGTTTTTTCCCTGTTATATGAAATTAAATATTCAGCTACCTCTACATTTATAGGTAGGTATGTGTATGTTAACTATATTACATATAAATATTGCAGCTATTCTAAACCAAGGACCTATGTATTGGTATTTACAAGAGCAACAGGAGATGCATTCACCTCCAGAAAATTGGACAATTTAACCTCTTCCACCAATGTGCTATCATTAACACACAGAAACTATTTATGATTAGGTTATAAGTACATTTCTCATACAGTACCAGATCTAAACTGAGCTCATTGAATGTTTCCTCTTGGTTTTAGGCAGTAATTGAGTCTTTGAGTTACTTTATTTTACAAGCAGTGGAAGCAATAAAACGAACTTCCCCTGCTCCTCACTCTGAGGAGTTTCCTCCAGCACCATAGCCATTGCACATCAATATGCAAGCACATGAGGTTAGGACTGTCTTTTCTGAACTAGCCAAGACAGAAACTATTGCACGGGTTTGATCAGCTAGGAATGAATATTGCAGAAGAAAAGAAAAGTCTATGAAGGATTACAAAGTACTCTTATGGCAATCCAATTTGACTTATAATTTATATCTTCATTTTTCCCCGCACACTTCTGCTGTTCTACTCAGTATTAATCTCAGAGCCATAGTTCATGAAGTGGAGCCATCATTTAGAAAAAGTTGTCTTTGAAATTTTCTGATAGCTCTGAAAATTCTTCTCTCATCACATGAGAACCCCCAGACCAGTGAAAACATGATGTGTCAAATAACATTTTTTGCTTTACAGTATGTGAGCGATTAACCTTTCTGCAAGAGAGAGGAAATGGAAGAGCAAAGAGGGAGCTGCCCCAGCTAGGAGAAATGCTGTTCTGTTTAACTGAGCGATGCCCAGAGGAATTTGAGTCTTATGGTTGCTACTGTGGCCAAGAAGGGAGAGGTTATCCTACTGATGCACTGGACAGGTGTGGGCTCTTCTATAATCTGCTATTACCTGTGGGTATTATTGGGTGCTTATGGACCAACAAAGATCAGTATTGCTTTTGTTGGGCCTTTATAGGTAGGTACCAGTAGTGAGGCCACTTTTTTTTTCCCACATTTTTTTTGGGGGGAAGGGGGGTGGGAGAAATCCGCTTAAATACATAAATTCTTTGATGTCACTAAGATATTCTATTATTGCATCAATGTTTTGAAGAGATTTACTGACTCAAAAAAGAAGAACGATGGGAAGTAAGTAGAGCAGAAGGAAGAGTGTGTCATCAAAGGATGCTGTGAAACTTGGCTAAGGGGCAGTTTGGAAAATGGTTTATGAAGAGTTATACACCCTTGCCACCCTGTCTTTCAGAAGAGTGTAAAGCACAAGTGAATGCCAGAGCTCAGAGCTGCAGCCAAGAGACCTGCTGTGGCTACCATGTACTGTCATGGCATAGCTGACCAAGAGCAGGAATTCATAGAATCATGGTATGGTTTGGGTTGGAAGGAACCTTAAAGTTTACCCAGTTCCAACCCCCATGCCATGGACAGGGACACCTTCCATTAGACAAGGTTGCTTCAAGCCCCATCCAACCTGGCCTTGAACACCTCCAAGGATGTGGCAACCACAGCTTCTTTGGGCAGCCTGTTCCAGTGCCTCACCACCCTCACAGTTAAGAATGGCTTCCTTATATCTCACCTAAATCCTCCTTGTTTAAGTTTGAATTCTGGAGCAATGAAGAGAATTCAACCAAAAGAATCTCCCTTGAGAGCGTTGCATTTAAAACTAAAAACCTCTCCCCGTGTGGAAGTTCATAATAGCTGGGGCCACACTGAGGCCCCACTAAGTACAGCACTTAGTAGGTGACAGTTACAATTGTAATATATGTTAAAATTAAAACAGAACCCCTTAAGAAACTACAGGTACGGGAGGACAGTAGGAACAGTTTGGGTTATTTTACTTTTTGATGGAGAGTGTTTTTCCATTATATGAAAAATGAGATTTTAGTTTTAACAGACATTGAAAATAAAGAGGTAAAATAATTGTGAGTACTCTGTCATGTAAGGAGTATGTTCCACTTAACATCTAGTGTTTATTTCAGGTGCTGCTTCTCTCATCACTGTTGTATAGAACAAGTTATGAAACTTGGATGTCATGCAGAAAGAAGTTCAAGATCTGAAGTTGTGTGTTTCGATCATAAGCCAAACTGTAAGTAAACTTCCAATGTCCTGATGACAGTGAATCGAAGCATTACAGACCAAATGTCACCCTGTGAGCTGCTGGAGCTGAGTATAGAGACACAAAAATTTGGCTTACAAAACGTTTGCAATGCTAACTATAAACCTAGGCTTTCTTCCTAGCTGAGATAAAGGGTATTACATCACTGTGTATGATGTGACCTGGTCAGACTGAGAAAACTACACTCAAGACATTTTTTGGTTGAAGAGAGAAGTCAGCTGTTGGTGTCTTTACATTCACAAGTTCAACTAAAGCCAGTCGCACCTTCAGTTGCCCAATGCCTTGGTGTCAGGCTTATATTTAGATGGTAAAAGGTGAATTTGGAAACCAAAATTTAAGAAAGATTGGAAAATTTTCTTTTCAAAAGCTCATCTTCCCATGGCAAATCACACATTGACAAACTTTAACTTCAATCAAACAATTCTGAACTTTCTTTTTCAGGTGTTGGTTGGAGCATGTGTGAGAAACTACTATGCACTTGTGATAAGACAGCCGCCGAGTGCATGGCTTCTGCCTTCTTCAATGAAAGCCTTAAGCTTCCACACAGGCAAGAGTGCCAAGAGGAGAAAATCTCATGTCAAAGTGACCCTTATGAAAGGCCTTCAACAGGCACAGGAACAGGCACAGGGATTTCCAGCTCCGAGGAGAGCAGTGAGGAGGAAGGCCCACTGGGGAGCGTATTAAGAAGAGCAAAGAGAGATACACACCATCACATTGGAAACTCCAGAGCTGTGCAACATGAAGGCAGATAACCAACTACCACTATACACTTGAGGAACAACATGGATACATTCACAGTTGGTCACTGCATACCTTGCTCCTTCTTATCACTCCAGTGCCTGCCTTACACTTTCCAGCACACAAGTGACATAATCATAGACTAAGTATTAGATGTTAGGCTGTATACCTTCTTACCATAGTGAGGTCAGCGCTATGGATCACCTACTTAGGTCAGATGTTTAAATGTGTAAATGATTATTTCACACTATTCTGTATAATTTGATTTCTATACGTAAAAACTGCTGTGATCAAAGACTGATTCTGCTAACTGCGTAGTTGGTTCAGACTGGATCTTGCTTATGGTGGCTAAATATTTCAGGTTCTTAATTAAACCAATCTGCAACTACTCCAACTCCTTTTGTAGATGTTCTTCCTTTACTGAGCTTAGCAGGAAACACTCAGAAGAAAACCCAAGGTAGTTAATAAGTTCCTTCTCCCCTTCCTATCTAACTGCAATTTCAACCTGCAGTTTCTGCTGGCCAATCAGATCATGACAGTAGAAAGCCCATTCTTTGCCCCAAAACTATGTACTATGCTCGGTTACTTCCAGTTTTGAGAGATTTCATTACGCTAAAGGGATTAAATTTAAAGGATCTGCTACCTGGGATCAACTAAAACTGATGCATTCCGGAGTATGTCATGTAAAGCTGGAATAATGCTTTCTGCTTTTTACTAAACCCAAGTTTGATTGCTTTTGTTTCCAAATTCACCCCTCGTAAGATTCACCAGTTATCAGACAACAGCAGTATAAAAGGATATATACGTCCTTTTACTTGATAAGGTGTTAATCTACACTATGCTTTGATCATAAAATATTGTCAAAAGAAATTAAATTACTAGAACTTGGCTAATAATAACAAAGCTAAACAACAAATAAACCCAGCTAGGGTCAAACTCACCAGCAACCTTATTACTTTGACATGAAAGATGCACACAAAGGTAGAATCTTTCCCATTAGATTTCAGTTGTATAGCACACACAGTGCAAACACACCACTTAAATCCAGAAGGTGACTTGTCCAAAAGGACAGATAACATTTTATTCAGTGTGATTTTCATTTTTTATCTGAGCATGCATTTGCAAAATCAAACCCATAGTAATAAGGTACTTCCTCTGTAAACACACCCGACTGAAAAAGTGAAGGTTCGAATTCTTGATCAAAAGCAATCATGTCCTTTTCACTTGGTTGACCATTTATCTGTTGACCTACCATAACTGACTTTGTGCTGTGTTTGCATCACTTGTGAGATCTTTTAAGTTATATTGGCAACAACCACTCTTTCATACAGCTGAATCATACTGGTGTTCGTCTTACACTCTTCAACAACATCTGTGGTCCCTAGGACCATATCTCCCTCCCTGAGAAGCAGTAACAGCACCTCACCCTCAGCAATAGCTTTTCCTGTGCTGAGCACCAAGAGAAACAAAGCCTGACATCCCTCCCAACCACCATTGTGTCCAGGGTTTGGGTTCAGATCTGCATTATGTCCCAGCCTGACTTCCCAAGCATCTTAGACATTAGAACCAGAAATAAACAGGGTCATTTAACTTCCCACTTGGGATGTGTTCGGATGTTAACCACAACATAAGGTGTTACCTGAGACACTTGGATTCCAAGTTGTACTATCCTGAGCCTGCAAACCTACAGCAGGATAAAAAAGAAGGTTAACACTGATGTCAAAGTTTGCCTGTCTTCCGTACTGTTCTTCGTAAGTTTGACTGTTAAGGAGTCAGGTTTGTGTGATCCTGAACGTTCAGAAGCAAATTTAATAATTGATTTGAGGATCAAGTCATACCTGTCTCACTTCCTCTTGGAATTAGAAAGGTCTCTAAGAATTCTCACACTTAATGCTTCAGTTTGCTTAACAAAGGCATACTTTTTGTTACTATTAACTTGGGGAGGTGGGAAGCAAAATAATAATACTTACAAAATATTTTTATTAAAAATATTCCAAATTTCCCTCACTTTTTAAACCTGCTCTTAGAATAAAAGATTTATATAGAGTGTAACTGAGGCTCTCAGTCAGTTGCTGAGGGGAGTTGCTCCAGCACAGCAGATCTTCGTGTACAGGGGCTTCCTGAGGCTGGGAAATGCTGCAGAATTGAAGCAGTCAGCCTACATGGGAGATGCTGGAAAGGCCTGGGCATTGCAACTACTTACAAGAAGCAGCCTAAGGAGCAGTAGTGACCAGGAGTACTAGCAACAGAGCATCTGTGCATCAGGGTGCGCAGGAAGGGCATGCTCACCCTGCCAACAAAAAAGGTGAGTTCAGTTTGTAGTCATCACCTCCCAGAATGAGTTTAGCTGTGGTATCCACCCTGCAAACAGCTTTTTGACATGAGTGTCATATGCGTGTCATGCGAGCTACAGAAGGTCCCAATTTCCTCAAAATAGAAATAAAGAATTGTTCTTCCCCCTTCTCTCAGGGTGCACTATTAAAATAAATATTTCAGTAAATGGGTGCTCCCAGAAGAAGTGAGTAACAAACATCAGTGTAATACTCAGCCCCATTAGATGGCACCACGGTTTGAAGAAAGCTCCCTGTGGGTGAACTGCATGCAGATCTTCGCACACGCTGACAACTTTCTTCCTTCAAACTGATAATACAAAGTCAATATGCTTTCTAACCACGAAGGCAGATCCGAAAAGCACAGCTTATCTTTTTGAAGCTTATTTGTTACTAGAAAATTATGTTTGTATTGTTCCTTTCTCAAATTTTGGTGGCCTTAGCAATGTACTAAACTACTAAATGTGTTAAACTACTAAAAGTAGTTTAACAATGCTGCAATGCTATAAACATTTGCAAGGACAAAAAAATGAGGCCTATTTTAAATGCTAAAAAATGTCAGTGACATTTTGTGAGCAATAAAAATTAACTGATACCTTAGAAAAGACTGATTTTAAATTTGGGTTTTATTGCTTAAATATAGATTGCACAGTGTGTTCTTACATTGACTGAAACTGGATCATGACATACAGTACAGAATATATGACCATCAGAACAACAGACAAATTAGCCCTACTCTTGATTTTGGATAAACAATTAATTTCATCTTTTAAAATCAACATGGATTTAAATTTACTTTAAAATGACCCACTATCATAATCTATAATTTTTCAAAATGACATAATGGGAAGAAGAACCCAAAGCAAAAGCTGGAACACATTGGAACAGCTGGATTTATAACCACTGTGACAGTACTCAGTATGTTGCAGATAACACAGGGCCCGTATGCACATGGAGCTTTTAAGTTCTGCAACTTGCCTCAAGAACATAAAAGAGACCCGTTAAAAAAAGCAGCTTTATACTGTACAACAGCATTCTTAATTCATTTGGTTTCATTCACTGACTACACATAACAACAGCTACCAAACCAATACATTTTACAGTCACTCCCTTCTCCCAGCTGTCTACAAAGGCCAGAGTGAACCAATTCTCAACTTACAGACTCCCTGAATTTCCAGAAAGGAAGAAATTAATTATCCTGTGAACACACAGGGTGTTGCAAGCTCTTCATTCCCTGCACAATACCTGCACAACACCTGCATTTCCCAAACAAACCTCATTTGAACATTGAAAACGTGGAACCTTATCATTAGCACAAATGAAAAATACTTCATAAACAGAAAATGAAATGCTGAATCTAGTTATTTTCACATGCAGCATTCATGCAACAGAATTCAATCACAGAAACAATCCTGTATTTACAGCACAGTCTCCATACTGCAAGAGTGCAAACAGAAGTACATTCTTTATTTCTTAGACTTTTTGTACAAAAGTGCAGTGTTATTCTTAGAAAATGACAGAGTGGACAAGTGGTTAACATTGTATCCCTAGATTTACTATTTAAAAAATTACACTCTTTATATAGGCCACAAAACTATTACGTCTTACCTTAAAAACCCCCCAAAAAGTGAAAACTAAAAGCTAGAGTCCTATTTATGTGTAGACTGTGGTCTGATCAGGCTGAAACGCTGCAGCAGTAAAAATCACAACGGAATGCTGTAGATAAGGGGCTGTTTCGTCATCCACTAACAGCTGTGATTGCACTGTTAAACTGAAAAGAAGGTCTCAATTACCTTTTGAGTTTTGTGAATGCTTTCTGAAAGTCTCAGCATGTTATCTCATAGGTTTAAGTAGCTGATATTTCTCTGATATTATGTCACTTCAGGCTTTTGAAAGCAGCCCAGTGGAATACTGTACTACAGTTATAAAAACCTTAAAATCCTGTTTACAGTGGGTTTGCAAATGCTCAGCCAGCACAACAGCTGACAGAGAACCATTCAGAATCATGGATTAATTTAGGGTGGGACTTGTGAAGGTCAACTAAACCAAGCTCCTGCTCAAAGCAGGATGAACTGAAGTTAGCTGACTTTCTTTGTGCCCTGATCGCTGTTTATCTAACCTGCTAACTAAGTGCCTTACATTTATTATAGATATTTGAGAACTTTCACTGATGTCTGTGCTGCTTCAGTCAGATTCAGACAGATTAAGGGACTTCAAATTTACTATTCATGTCATCAATGAACATTGTTTTTTCTTTTTGCCTACAGAATTTGGAGAGTCATAAGGACAGCCTTGAAAATTATCCAAAATTCAGTGATCTTCTATATTCTAATATATATTTACTATATATACTTTCCTTTCTTTACATTTGAATAGTATACTCAGATACATAAACCTATGAAAGTTACCATATTTTCTTTATTTCTAGAAACGTTTGAGAAATGGAACAAAAACGAACACAGAAATGCATCTCTAAAAATGCTTTTGCTTGAAAATATGTAATAAATTCCTCGTCTTTAAACTGTTTCATCCAGTTTTCTTTCAATTTCTAAAATATCATTACAAAGCTGTAATAAACTACAGAGAATAGAATACCTCGTAGAATATATTTGCAATTTCTGTATTTATGATTTAAAATGCCCTCAGTTTATTTTTTGCTATACTAAATATATCTCTCCTGTATTTATACCAAAGCAGACAGTAAAATACTACTGCATTTTCAAAAGTACAGTCTGTAAACGATACACCTTAAGACATTAAAAGTATTGCACAGTTCAGTGCTTCAAGAGGAGACTTTTCATCTCTTATGCAAAGCAGTTGAATTTTAACAAGAAATGCAGGACACACACTGGGCATACATATCTAAAATGCATTATTATGTGATGCATCAAAAAAAATTACTTAAGTGTCCATTAATTCATTTACTGTACTTGAACACGTGTAAGGTATTGGGTTTTTTCCATATATTCCAAAACAAAGAAGTTGGCTACCTATGACAGCATGAACAAAGGGAGCTAAGGTTGTGCTCCACTGGTTACATTTAATAAGATGAAGCA